ATTTGAGGATAAGTGCGATGCATAAAGGCCTATACTTGTTGAAGCTAATTACAACAATGTTGACTGTCAACACTCCAAACAAATTGAGCAAACAGTGGATTTTTAGTTTTTACTGTAGCTATCACTAGTTACTGTAGCCTATGCTATTTAATAAGCGGTAGTATCAATCCACAATGGACTAGGACGAGAATATTCTGTGCCCCTAGCCAAATTGGAGTTGATGACAACGCAATAATATACATAATTTGAGACAAATGCATGCAGTATTAAACCATGGAACACCTTGATTGGCCAGTGAGTGGCCAAGCCCTCATCACACCTAAAACTTGTTTATTCATCAAAACCCAGCCCTTTCGCACTGCTGCCAGCTATTGTGCTCATAATAATGGCTGTGAAAATAGCTAAAATATTTCTGACACACCCCTGGACCTATAGCACTATGCCAGCGCTTCAATTTATCATTTGCATTAGGTTTGTTAAAATAAAACCCTTAATATTGTCTCAAACATTAACTAGTTATTGTCATTGGGCACACCTCTTTGACCTGTGTGTCCCGAGTTACTCCAAAAAACTTGACTGCTGACATGCAAAACATTTGGGATTGTATTAACAGTGGACTAATGAAAAAAAGTGGACTTTTCCTTTAATCAATCAATTTTATTTTATATAGCCCTTCTTACATCAGCTAATATCTCGAAGTGCTGTACAGAAACCCAGCCTAAAACCCCAAACAGCTAGTAATGCAGGTGTAGAAGCACGGTGGCTAGGAAAAACTCCCTAGAAAGGCAAAACCTAGGAAGAAACCTTTAAGGCCAGGATTAAGTCTTAAGCATTACAGCATGCTTGATATTTGAAAGGTAATTTCCAATTGAACTCACATCTGCAGCGTTTACCTTGAATGAGATATCCGTGAACGTGATTGATTTGATCTTTCCATGACAGACTGACCAGGTAAATCCAGGTGAAAGCTTTGATCCCTTATTGATGTCAGTTGTTAAATCCACTTCAATCAGTATAGATGAAGGGCAGGAGACCGGTTAAAGAAGGATTTTAAGCCTTGAGACAATAGAGACATGGATTGTGTATGTGTGCCATTCAGAGGGTGAATTGGCAAGACAAAAGATTTAAGTTTGTTTGAACGAGGCTCAACAGTTTCCCATGTGTATCAAGAATGGTCCACCACCCAAAGGACATCCAGCCAACTTGACACTACTGTGTGAAGCACTGGAGTCAACATGGGCCAGCATCCCTGTGGAATGCTTTCGACACCTTGTAGAGTCCATGCCCCGAGAAATTGAGGCTGTTCTGAGGGCAAAAGGGGGGGTTGCAACTCAATATTAGGAAGGTGTTCCTAATGTTTGGTATACTCGTGTATATATAAATGAAACTACAGTTACAAATGCTCTACTTTTTTCGTCCAGCAGGTGTTTAAAAATCACACATGAAAATGTGCACAAATTTGCTCTTAAACATTTCTCTAATTTCAACAGTTTTTACAGAGAAATGTTCAGATATAAACAAGACATTAAATGAAACGTAAATTAAAGGGTTGAGAATGTCAATAGCTTGAGCCAAGTCATGTCTACTACATGTATAAAGGACGTCACGCTGCTTGCTTAGCGAGTACCGCTTCCCCTTGACCGACTCATATCGAGACTTCGAACTCGGGACCTCTGCCTCGCAAACACATGTGACCGCCTTCCTGAAGTGTTCTAACCCGTAGGGGTGATAATCAGATAATCAAAGGGTGCATCTCAATAGTTTGAAGCCATCCCTACAATAGCTTCTGCCACTGGGCACTTTATGATAGGGAAGGACTAGAAATTGCTCATGTAAGTCGCTCTGGATAAGAGCGTCTGCTAAATGATGTAAATGTAAATGTAAAAGCAAACAAGCTTGAGCTACCATTACATCACCAATACCCAGGTGGTGCAAATATGGCTGGCATAGAATAAGGCGACGGTACCGTATCAGAGTAATAGCCAAGCGTTCCATCTACAGCTTTGTTCAGTCCAGTCATGTTGAAAGGGAATCAAAAGGGTACCAACAAATGGTAGCTAAGGGCTAGGATTCAGTCATTGTCTTTCAACAGGTGGCGCCACTCCTACTTCTTCGACTGTTAGTCCTTCTACCGATCAGTGCAAACAAAAGTTACACTATCTGATGTAAGACAATGGGGCTCAGTTTGAAACAACCACGGCCTAGGCGCATCATCACCGTATTTCAGAAAGTATTGGATTTAGCAATATGGCCCAGCTTGCCAGATGGAATTTCCACTATATTGTATATTGTTTATACCTATCCAATGCTTTCAGATCTACAAGTGCCTGGGGGTTAGGGGTTAGGGGTTAGGCATGGTTTAATTGAGGCCTGGGCCTTGGTGCACCATACATGCCCACTGCCCACCCTCTCCCTCCCTCTGTTGTGGCAAGGGTGTGAACTGAAGCTTAGTCAGACTTGGGGCTGGTTAGCCAGGGTTTTTGTCCCCCTTCAGTCGGCGGACGAGCTTCTCACTGCTCCGTCGGATGGAGGCGCGCAGCTTACTGAAGGAGACGCTTCTCTTCAGGGAGCCACAGTCGTCCTTTGGGGACAGAGAGCAACGGAGGGTTACACATACACTCACATGTATGCATGCAACTGCTCATACACACGTATTTATGCACATGCTCACAGATAACACACGCACATGCTCGTACAGATACAAACACACACACACACACAAACCAGTGGCGGCTGCTGATGGGAGGACAGCTCATAATAATGGCTGAAACGGAGCGAATGGAATGGCATCAAACCATGTGTTTGATGTATTTGATACCATTCTGCTCCAGTCATTCCCACGAGCCCGTCCTCCCCAATTAAGGTGCCACCAACCTCCTTTGGCACATACTTACTTTTACACACACAAACACACACACGTACGCACACACACAGGCCCAATTGTCTGCATACATGTACATATACACTCATGCATATTCTGGGTAGGGCTATACAGTCACACTGTAGGCAATCAACGGCAACACATACTTTTATAGTAAACGTTTACACAGGCTCATAGTATAGCTGGAATGGAATGAATGAAATGAATGTGTTTGATACCATTATATTAATTCTGTTCCAGCCATTACAATGAGCCCGTCCTCCGATTTTAAAGTGACAACAAGCCACCACTGCTTCAGAGGTAGCATACAGTACTCAGAGCATGCGCGGACCAACTGGCAAGTGTCTTCACTGACATTTTCAACCTCTCCCTGACCGAGTCTGTAATACCTACATGTTTCAAGCAGATCCAAAGTTGGCGCAATCTCAATCGCACTCCACACTGCCCTTTCCCACCTGGACAAAAGGAACACCTATGTGAGAATGCTGTTCATTGACTACAGCTCAGCGTTCAACACCATAGTGCCCACAAAGTTCATCAATAAGCTAAAGACCCTGGGACTAAACACGTCCCTCTGCAACTGGATCCTGGATTTCCTGACGGGCCGCCCCCAGGTGGTAAGGGTAGGTAACAACACATCTGCCACGCTGATCCTCAACACGGGGGCCCCTCAGGGGTATGTGCTTAGTCCCCTCCTGTACTCCCTGTTCACCCACGACTGCGTGGCCAAGCACGACTCCAACACTATCATTAAGTTTGCTGACGACACAACGGTAGTAGGCCTGATCACAGACAACAATGAGACAGACTATAGGGAGGAGGTCAGAGACCTGGCAGTGTGGTGCCAGGACAACAACCTCTCCTCAACGTGAGCAAGACAAAGGACATGATCGTGGACTACAGGAAAAGGAGGACCGAACACACCCCCATTCACACCGATGGGGCTGTAGTGGAGCGGGTCGAGAGTTTCAAGTTCCTTGGTGTCCACATCACCAACAAACTATCATGGTCCAAACACACCAAGAAAGTTGTGAAGAGGGCACGACATCGCCTTTTCCCCCTCAGGAGACTGAAAAGATTTGGCATGGGTCCCCAGATCCTCAAAAAGTTCTACAGCTGCACCATCGAGAGCATCCTGACCGGTTGCATCACCGCCTGGTATGGCAACTGCTCGGCATCCAACCGTAAGGCTCTACGGAGGGTAGTGCGTACGGCCCAGTACATCACTGGGGTCAAGCTTCCTGCCATCCAGGACCTCTATACTAGGTGTGTCAGAGGCCCAAAATATTGTCAAAGACTCCAGCCACCGTAGTCATACAATGTTATCTCTGCTACCTCACGGCAAGCTGTACCGGAGCGCCAACTCTAGGTCCAAAAGGCTCCTTAACAGCTTGTACCCCCAAGCCATAAGACTACTGAACAATTAATCAAATGGCCACCTGGACTATTTACATTGACCCCCCCGTTTGTTTTTACACTGCTGCTATTCGCTGTTTATTATCTATGCATAGTCACTTTACCCCTACCTACATGTACAAATTACCTCAACTAACCTGTACCCCCGCACATTGACTCGGTACCGGTACACCCTGTATATATATATATTGTTATTGTTATTTTTTTACTTTAGTTTATTTAGTAAATATTTTCTTAACTCTATTTCTTGAACTTCATTGTTGGTTAAGGGCTTGTAAGTAAGCATTTCACAGTAAGGTCTACAACTGTTGTATTCGGCGCATGTGACAAATACAATTTTATTTTATTTGATCTGAGGGTACGACCACAGTCTAGAGATGTGTGGTGAGGGGAGGCAGGCTCATAGTAATAAATGGCTGGAATAGATTGAATGGAATGGTATCAAACACGTGTTTGATGTGTTTGATACCAATCCATTTATTCCATTCCAGCCATTACTATAAGCTGCCTTCCCTCACCACACGTTACGTACAGATTTTGTGTCTGAAAATAACGGAAATAGCTGTTAACGGATGATGGCCAGCGGAGATAATTGTCTGACAAAAACACACAAATGATACATATTTTTAAGCATGCAACCTGCACAAAAAAACTTGACTCGAGTTGAACTTGATGAATGCATATACGATTTCATCCTTGCTCATTAGTCTCTGTAGCCGTAGACTGAGTGGTAGAGAGTTGTGCTCCTCCTCACCCCGTTCCATTCCAGACTGAGGTTGACCACCTCTCCTCCGTGTAGGCCACTGTCGTACTTCACCGTGATCACCTCAGAGGTCAGGCTCTCACTACTGCTGCATTGCTTCTCCATGGCCGCGCTGTCGCTGGGGGCCTCGGCAGCTAGAACACACCGCTTCTGGCTCTATACACACAGACGCACACACAGATGAACACATACAACGTGGAAACACACAGCAATACTACTAAGTGTGGGAGGACAAACACATCCTGGTCATTCCTTGGCCAGGTATTTCCTAAACCTTCACATTTCATTGGTATTAATAAGTAACTTGCGGGTGAACTCGTTTCCTACTTTTAATTGGTTACTGTTGGAGGTATATGATCTATATAGGAATTTGATTATGCACAATACATTCATGTGTTATCTTTTGGGCCCTACTGTACTGAACACTTGCCTTTTTTCCCCTTCCTAAAATAAATAAATCAAAACTATAAAACATAAATAAAACAAATCATAATAATAAAAGTTAAATAAAACAATTATATTAAGTTAAATAAAATATATTTTTTAATGCAGACCGGACCCACTTGTTTAGGGGTGTGTGTGGCCGCTGCCTCCAGTGTCTCTGCTGCCTTCAGTTTGCCCTGTCGCCTGTAGAGGGCTCCCAAGTTCCTCAGGGTGCTGGTCATGGTGGCACTGCACGGGGTCAAAGGTCAGGGATTGTGTAAACCATGTAATATTCATTAGTGTACACCGAAACAAAACATTTTGCAACAGAAAACTAAAACAAGTCTTTCTTATTGGACAATTTCAGGTAGTCCTTCCCTGTTTCGACCTGTTTTCTTTCATTTCGTGTGTAGTGAATACAACCCTAATGGAGTAGGACAAATTTGCCTGGCCTTAGGCACAGATCTAGGATCAGCTTTCCCGCCCCAAATCCTTACCTTAACCATAAGGAGGGAGAATGAGAAACTGACCTTACATCAGTGTCTAGGGGCAAATTCATCATACTCGGTCAGGAAACAGATCTAGGATCGGCTTCAGGGTAAAGTTGCCTCTACATGCTGATCTTGGGTCAGTTTAGTATTTTCCCCACTAATGGTTAAGGTTAATATTGGGGGAAGTGAAGCTGATCCTAGAGCTGTACCTAGTGGATACGCCACCCTGAGCATGGAGATGACTGACCTGTCCACTTTGCCAGTCCTGTCCCAGCTACCTTGATCTCCTATAGACAGGCCTTCTCTCTTTCTGCCCTGAGGAGCACACATTTAAACATGGTCAACAGTGGAATGGTGAACAATGGCTCAGTTGGTTGGAGCATTGGTTGCTGTACAGGTTATAGTCCAGTGTGGGCAGATTTGTTACTATGGTTGTAGTAGCTGAAATGAGATTTGATCAAATATGAGGGGCTGAGTTTGTTCACCTGTTCCTCCCTCTCCTCTGCCTGCATCCAGATGGACTTGACCTCCCCTGTATCAACAGATAAATACACAGACAGACAGGTTAACTGGTGTAATGGAACCAATAGAATAGCCCCAAAAGTACAAACCCGCCCATCCAGCATGCAGGGTAAGCGAAACACAGCACACCTCAAGGATTTGAAAGAAGATAAAATACTATTTTGACCCAGGTATGGCTGGGAACTAGAGGCATTTTCCAGATTGTTTTCACAATAAAAACTTTAACGGAAGATGTAAATGATGGGTCCTTACCATTTGTAGAGCCACTGGCCTTCTCATGGGCATGGGTTAGGATCTCTTTGTACAGCACCTCTGCTTGTTTAAACTTCCCTTGCTTTAGGTAACAGGAGGCCTAAGAGAGGAAGGGAGATACATTATATATACAAAAGTATGTGGACACCCCTTCAAATTAGTGGATTCTGCTTTTTCAGCCACACCTGTTGCTGACAGGTGTATAAAATCGAGCACACAGCCATGCAATCTCCATAGACAAACATTGGCAGTAGAATGGCCTTACTGAAGAGCTCAGTGACTTTCAACGTGGCACCGTCATAGGATGCCACTTTTCCAACAAGTCAGTTCGTCAAATTTCTGCCCTGCTAGAGCTGCCCCGGTCAACTGTAAGTGCTGTTATTGTGAAGTGGAAATGTCTAGCAGCAACAACGGCTCCGCCGCGAAGTGATAGGCCACACAAGCTCACAGAACGGGACCGCCGAGTGCTGAAGCACGCAGCGCGTAGAAATCGTTTGTACTCGGTTGCAACACTCACTACCGAGTTCCAAACTGCCTCTGGAAGCAACGTCAGCACAATAACTGTTTCTTCAGGAGCTTCATGAAATGGGTTTCCATGGCCGAGCAGCCGCTCACAAGCCTAAGATCACCATGCACAATGCCAAGCGTCGGCTGGAGTGGTGTAAAGCTTGTCGCCATTGGACTCTGGAGCAGTGAAAATGCTTTCTCTGGAGTGATGAAACACGCTTCACCATCTGGCAGTCCGACGAACTAATCTGGGTTTGGCGGATGCCAGGAGAACGCTACCTGCCGGATGCATAGTGCCAACTGTAAGGTTTGGTGGATGAGGAATAATGGTCTGGGGCTGTTTTCATGGTTTGGGCAAGGCCCCTTAGTTCCAGTGAAGGGAAATCTTAACACTACAGCATACAATGACATTCTAGACGATTCTGTGCTTCCAACTTTGTGGCAACAGTTTGGGGAATGTCCTTTCCTGTTTCAGCATGACAATGCACAAAGCGAGGTCCATGCAGAAATGGTTTGTCGAGATCGGTGTGGAAGAACTTGACTGGCCTGCACAGAGCCCTGACCTCAACCCCATCGAACACCTTTGGGATGAATTGGAAGGCCGACTGCGAGCCAGGCCTAATCGCCCAACATTAGTGCCCGACCTCACTAATGCTCTTGTGGCTGAATGGAAGCAAGTCCCCGCAGTAATGTTCCAACATCTAGTGGAAAGCCTTCCCAGAAGAGTGGAGGCTGTTATAGCAGCAAAGGGGGGACCAACTCCATATCAATGCCGATGATTTTGGAATGAGATGTTCGACGAGCAGGTGTCCATATACTATTGGTCATGTAGTGTATCATTTCAGATATCATGAGTGGAAATAATGACATTCCAAACATATGAAAGGCAACAAATTCTATACAAAATACTTCATTTTTTATGTCAATCAAATCAATCAATGAAATGTATTTTATACAGCCCTTTTTACATCGGCAGTTGTCAGAAGGTGCTTTACAGATATCCATTTGTTATGTCTTGTGCATTTTTTCAACAGACTATTGACTTGACAGTGAAGTACCTGTCAATGAGAGGCTGTATAAAATACAGGTCAATTACTAGAACCTTCATTTAGGCACAATCCAGAAACAACCATTAGCCCCTACCCTCTAGGCACATCTATAGATCTGAAAGGGTTGGATACTGAGATGTAAGCAATGCGGCTGATCTCTGATTGGCTACGTGGACATCCACCATATTGCTTATTATACTAATCCAATCCTTTCAGATCTGCACAATGTCCAAGGGGGTAGGGGCTAGGGGTTATTTCTGGACACGGCCATGTTCTTTCAACACAGAGTACTAGCCCAGGCACCAGGCAGATTTCAGTGAGCTGCTCTGTTTGGGACTAGATGATAGTGTCCCAGTATTTTCCTTTCATCATTCCAGCACACTTCTAGCAACTGTGGCGGATGCTTAACCAAGCCAGACCATTAAAACTCAGCTCAGCTCACTAGTGTGAAAAGGGTACCAGTCTCTCACCAGCTTGTTCTTGGTTTTAGCCATGTTGGGGTCATCGGGGCTAAGCCTGGTCTGGTAGATGTCCAGGGCACGTTGGTAGTGCTGCTCCACCTCTCTATACTTCCCCTGGTTCTGGCACAGCAAGGCCAGGTTGTTCAGCTGCTTGGCCACGTCAGGATGCTCCTTACCCAGTATCTAGATCAACAGGGGTTAGGAGTTTAGTTTTGTGTAGGATGAGGTATTTAGATAAATAGGCACGCACACAGTTTACATTGACATTTTAGTCATTTAGCAGACACTCTTATCCAGAGCGACTTACAGTTAGTGCATTCATCTTAAGTTTGCTAGGTTGTAAAACCACATATCTCAGTCATAGTAAGTACATTTTTCCTCAATAAAGTTGAGAGCAGGTCAGTGGTAGAAAAAATTATACACTGAGTGTACAAAACATTAGGAACTGCTCTTTCCATGACAGACTGACCAGGTGAATCCAGGTGAAAGCTATGATCCCTTATTGATGTCACCTGTTAAATCCATGTTTTATTATTATTTTTACACACACACACACACACAGAGACAGACACACACCTAGTGACCCACCTTCTCCCTAATCTCCAGCGCTCGTTTACACAGTAGCTCGGCCTCCTTGTACCTGCCACTCTTCCCATAAAGCACAGCCAGGTTGTTGAGTGTAGCGGCCACCTGAGAGGAGGGTATGGGGACGTTAGCCACAGGGTCAGTGATACTCACACAGCCGCTAGGTCAATGACAGCTACAGTGACTAGTAGCTGTCAGCCTTAGAATTGGAAGGGGGAGCGGGTATGGGAACAACACAACAGTGGGGTCAGAGACAAACACACACAAACACAAAGTGATGGCCATACACACACATAGACACAAAGTGATGGCCATACACCACATATGTCAGAGTCAAGGCCCGCGGGCCACATCCGGCCCGCGAGAAGGTTTTTTACGGCCCCTGGGATGATCTTGATTTATTATTAGAACCGGCCCGCAGACCGCAGCAAGCCGGCAGCCCGCAGATCTTTTACACGCACCAATACTACATTTCCCACAATGCAACGGTGACGCACCGAGCAGTAGGCTGCTTCATTTCAATATTTATTGGCACAGCAGTCGTCAGCATCACAGTAAAATTAACTTTCAGATACCCATCAGAAATGGCAAAACGGAAGGTGGACACTGAGAACCGGGGGTTTCAAACAAGGTGGGAGTCGGAGTATATGTTCACGGAGGTAGCTGGAAAACCTGTGTGTCTTCTGTGTGGAGAAAGTGTGGCGGTACTGAAAGAGTATAATCTGAGACGACATTATGAAACGAAACACGCGGACAAAAACAAGAATATGGACATGGAACAAAGGCTACAAAAGGCAGAGGAATTAAAACGAGGCCTCAAATCTCGACAGGCTCTGTTCAAAAAAGCCAAATCACAAGGCCAGGCTGCTGTCAAGGCCAGTTTTATTTTGGCAGAAGAGATCGCTAAATCAGCCCGGCCATTTACGGAGGGGGATTTCATCAAAAACTGCATGATTAAAGTTTGTGACGAAGTTTGCCCAGAAAAAAGGCAACTCTTTTTAAATGTGAGTCTGAGCAGAAACACCATTGCCGAGAGAGTAGACCAGTTGTCCATCAATCTAAAAGAGCAGCTTGTGAAAAAGGGAAAAGATTTCATTGCATATTCCTTGGCTGTGGATGAGAGCACCGACATTTCTGACATTGCCCAGTTGTCAATTTTCATCCGCGGAGTGGACTCCAGCCTAAGCGTGACAGAGGAGTTTTTGGCTTTACGTCCTATGCATGGCACAACTACGGGGCATGATTTGTATGAAGAGGTGTCAAGATGTGTAAATGAGATGGAGCTGCCTTGGGAAAAACTCGTGGGTTTGACAACCGACGGAGCACCTGCGATGTGTGGACACAGGAGCGGACTGGTGGCGAAGATACGGGAAAAGATGCAAGAGGAAAACGCGACAGGTGAGCTGACAGCTTATCATTGTATCATACACCAGGAAGCGTTGTGCGGTAAAGCCTTGAAAATGGAGCATGTAATGAGCATCATCACGCGCACAGTTAACTTTATCAGAGCCAAAGGTTTGAATCACCGCCAGTTCAAGGCATTTCTGACGGAGTTAGAAACGGAGCATGGTGATTTGCCTTATCACACAGAGGTGCGATGGCTAAGCCAGGGAAAGGTGCTTCAAAGATGTTTCGAGCTTCGTGAGGAGATTTGTCTGTTCTTGGACAGCAAAGGGAAAGACACAACACAACTCCGAGACGAAATGTTTCTGTGTGAAATGGCTTTTCTGTGTGACATTACGAGTCATCTGAATGCAATGAACTTGCAGCTGCAGGGTCGGGATCATGTCATCTCTGATATGTACAGTACAGTGAAGGCATTTAAAACCAAACTGACTCTGTGGGAGACGCAGATGCGGAAAGAAAATTTGAGCCACTTTCCCAGCTGCCAGACCATGAAAGAGAAGCTCTCTACCAGTGCGTTCCTGAGCGCACAGTTGGCTGATAAAATAGGTATGCTTGCCGCTGACTTTCGACGCCGATTTGCTGACTTTGAAGCACAAAAAAGCAGGTTGGAACTGCTCGGTAACCCATTTGCTGTTGACGTGGAAAGCTCACCACCAAACCTCCAAATGGAGTTGATTGACCTCCAATGCAATGATGCACTGAGGGCAAAATATGCGGCAGTGGGTGCTGCGGAGTTCGCCCGTTTCCTCCCCGACACAATGCCCCAGCTGCGCATCCAGGCTGCTCAAACGTTGTCTATGTTTGGCAGCACATATCTGTGTGAACAACTGTTTTCTTTGATGAACCTGAACAAAACATCACACAGAAGTCGACTTACTGCTGAACACCTCCACTCAATTCTGAGGATTTCCTCAGCTCAGAGCCTTACCCCGAACATTGATGAACTTGTGGAAAAGATGGGACACCACCAAGTATCACCCTCAACCTCAAACAAGTGAACATTACTGTGCAATCACATATTTAGAGTTTTTACTCAGTTCAAGTTTAAAAGTTAAAGTTTAATATTTGTTTTCACTGCATGTTACTTCTCCTTAAACAAAGTGTTGTTTTTGATTAATAGATTTTTGCACTTTATTTTATTGTATTTCAATCCAATTATATTTTAAAAATATTTCAGTTGAGTGGATGATAGAAAATTGCTATTATTGTTTTTTTCTTTGAAGTAAATTTAGCCCACTTTTGCTAAAATAGAAAATATAGGCTACTGATGGTGCCTTGAATACCGGTTTCTTTCATTTAATGTTCATGTTATGGGGATTTTTATATAAAGGAAATTTGTCTTTTGTGTCTGTTGAAAATTAAAGATTACTGACAGAGCCATAAGAAAATATTGCTTTATTTATCTGATCATATTGGAATATATTTGTTAGGTTTTCAGTAGGTTCAATTAGGTTCACTAGACTATATGCGTCATTTAAAAATTTTTCAATGAACATTCGAACAGTCCGGCCCTCGGCTTGTAGCTAAATTTTTTATTTGGCCCTCCGTCCATTTGACTTTGACACCCCTGCCATACACACACATAGACACAAGGTGATGGCCATACACTCACCGCCGGGTGGTCCCTGCCAAGGGTCCTCTCCCGAACCGCCAGCGAGTCGTTGAGAAGGTTGGCTGCCTCTTTGTACTTATTCTGGTCCCTGGAAGGAGAGGGGTGGAGGGCCTGGTTACTAGGGTATCGCCACGGCAACCTCAAGGTAAAACCAGGGTTAGGGTTGCCAGAGCTTGGCTGTTTTCAACAACAACAATGGTCCCCATCATGTGAGAAGAGTAACTGACTATTTATCATGTTAAACCCGAATGCTTTCACTGTCAAACATTAGGCTGGGATTGGGCTTCGGAGTTGGTGGCTCGTGCTTTGAATGAAATGGTGTGGCTGGCAGGTTGGATTTACACACTAAATCATACAGACATTTGGGCCTGGCAACTATTCCAAAAAGGTGGAGTCCATGTCCTTATAAACTTCCTGCATCATAATGTGCTTTAACACTGAAATTTGTCACCTGATATTTATACTCTATTGGCGGCCACTGCTTATTTGAAGTTGAGAACCTTCTAGCCCATTGCCATCTGTGGGAAAGATAGGTGCCCCCTACATGAGGAATGCACAAAACTGGATCAATGACTTAGCTCATGTCAGCTGTTGTCTATTCTAAAGTAACATAATCCTAAATCGATGGTACCATAATGTTGACCAATTATTAGTTTAGGAATAAATAAGAAAATATTGATATTGATATTTATTGATATATATAACTTGAAGACCATAAGAGCACTCATTGAAAGGATACATAATTTCAATGTAGTAAAGACAATAGGCCTATGCTGTCATCACTATGATATGTTTCATGTTCTCTGATCAGATTATTTCCATTACAAACACTATCCCATCTTATTCTTATCAAACTGGAGGAACAAGATCTGATCGGAGAACATAACTGAATATAACACAGGATCGTTCCTGTGGTCCGTCATCATCTTCTCCGGCATCCTGCGGGGCTCACCTGTAGACCAGGGCCAGGATGTTGAGCATGGTGGCCACGTCTGGATGCTCGTGTCCGGAGGTCTTCTCCAGGTCCTCAAGGGCCTGTTTGCAGAGGGGCACAGCCACCTCGTAGCGACCCTGCGAGGCGTACTGGATCACCAGGTTGTGGAGCGTACGCAGACGGGCTGGAATCTCGTAGCCACCCTGGTTGGCGGCTGCCATCGCCACATTGCTACTGTGCTGCTGAACTGAAGGGAATATGGAGTCTACCTTATTTAATGACATCGTAACTGTGACCATTATCGCTACCGCTAGTTTACTAGCTAGTAATACTAGCTTGCTAGCTTCTAATACATACAACAAATAATTTGTGCCACTGACAAAATAATACCACCAACACCATTACAACAATTAGTAATTATACTATTGCATTAGGGGAATAAATGTGTTTTTTGTTGTTGGATTTTGTGACTATCATTGCCATTACTGTTAGTGTTTTCACTGTGCAAGGGAATATTTGAAAGCTACATAGTATGCCATTCTGATACTGCAGATGATTCTAGATTAGATTCCAGTAATAATCCCAGTCTCTAATCCCCTGCCCGCCCAGTGCTTACTGCCATGGCCCTGGTTCTCCTCTTCATCATTGGGGAAGAGGTCATCCAGTGTTTCCTTGCTGGAATCAATCTCTTCCTGGTGAGTAAAGGTAGGGTTGTATTATCACTATCATTAGCGCACACACAGCTAACAAGAATTGTTCCTAGAACATCAGGTGAAGTTCCCACTCCTGTCTGGTAAAGTCCCACTCCTGTCTGATTGAGAAGAAAGCCCAACAAAACTTTATCAGAACATCTCAGGTGATTCATGTTCTGGATACATTGACAATGTGGAAGATAAATGTCCCTGTTCATGTCATCACCCTGCAATTTCTGGACTGTCCTGGAAAGGTTTTGCGAGAAAATAAATTTCTAGAATGCTATCTGTACCATTGATTAATTGTTCTGGGAACCAAAAGTTGTTGGCTTGGCATGCATTCACACGTTCTGTGGCACTGTTCAACCCATGCTTGTCTCCAAAAGTCTCCTCTTTAGTACCTTGACAGCAACTCTGGCTTCTTCTGTATCTTCTGTTATAGCATGGATCCCACTGCTGCCACCAAAAACCATTAATCATATTGTCTGACCTACATTTGAGTATAAAGTTCTCAAACATGAACTAGGAAATGTTGCTGTCTGCAGGAACTTAATTCCGCTGAATGCTAAGAGAGCTGGTTTATGCTAGTCTAGCAATATACACATTTATTTTTTACAATTCCTGATGGCTACATGGGGTCGGTGAATGTCTGTAAATTTGTTTTTGATCTGATAAAATGTATTGATGTTTTAGTTGAAATCACTAGAAAATCTCAAAATAAACTTTGATGAAAAAAAAAGAGAATCCTGATGTGGTGTTGTGGCGGTGACTATTGAATACACTCACGGGGGACGAAAGGTCATCGCTGTCGTCGTCATATCGCCGGAGGCAGCTCATGAACTCCAGGTGCCTCCTCTCTTCTTCCAGCTGCGCCACACTCTGCTCGCTCTCCTGCAGCCTCCACTGTGCCCCCGCCAGCTCATCCCGCAGCCACTGGTTCTCCTGGCACAGCTGCCTCACCTGAGCACGCAGCTTCTGCTTCTCCGCCTCCACCATGCTAAGGTGGGCCGACAGGGCCAGCATGACCTGGGGAAGGGGAGGTAGGAAAATAATTATTGGAAAAGACAATATGGCAGCCGGTCCACCCATCACACTTGCATGGGAATGTCCATTCTAGTAATTATATTTCTATGGGGGAAAACCCAGATAGGCCTTTAACCTCAAACTGCATAGGTTGTTCTTAGGGTGCCATGTCTTGCCAACTCTGAAACAAACAAGGTCAAATCATGACGTCAGTGATCTTTAGGTTGGAAAGTCGTAGCTCTAGAAAGAGGCCAGAGTTCCTGAGTTGAAATTATGAGTTGGAAGACTGTTCAGAACTATTTTTCCCAGTCGGAGCTAGTTTTTTCAGAGTTCCTAGTTGTCTTGAACGCACTGAAGTCGGAAGTCAGAGTTCCGAGTTCCCAGTAGTTTTGAACGCGGCATTACTGTGGCTGTACGCAGAAAAACAGAGCAAAACTCGGAACACAAAACAACTCTGACAGCAAGCAAGTGTCATCTGACCTCCCATGACATGACCTCAACCCTAACCTGATACATACTGACAATACTATGCTAATTGCTCTAAGCTAAAGAAAGCTTACCCCAGCTGCCACAAGCAGTACTCTTAATCTCTGACCTCGGTCAGGTCCATCAGGCAAAACAGAAGTGAAACAGGAAACAGAGTGGCTAGCTACAAGTTGAAAAACGCTTTCTCCTCCTCACAAATGTTAAGATAGCCAAAGAATGAAAAACAGATACTCTTGATCCAAAATCTGAGTGCAGTCCTACATGTGATTTTGACTGAGACTGAAACATTAACTTAAGAGTTTTGGCATATAATGTCCCATAGACTACATCTGACTACGTGTTTGTGAATGTTTTATTCCTGCCACGTGTATAACCATAATAATCGAGTAAAGAGTTTTACTTTTCTACACAAGAGAGTGCCTACGAATGTTAAGAATGCAGTATCTGTTTTTCATCTGCAAATTGCAATGATTACAATTCAATGTATCTGACCTGCGCTTCGCCCAGCCCAAGCTCTAGGGTGTCCAGCGAGCGGTGGATGGCCCTGGCCTTCTCCTGGGCAGGGCTGGGCTCCTCGTGGTTCTGGCTCCCCTCCACTTCCAGGCAGTGCAGGCTCCCCAGTAGGCCCTCCAGGAGAGAGTGGTGCTCCAGTCTCAGGGCCTCCATCCCCTGGATCACCTGCCTGGTCTGGCCCAGCATCTCCTCCTGGGTTGTCCTACGATCGGCCAAGACCCCCTGCGGTGCCACCAGGGCGGGTGCGTTTTCATACATCCTGGGGAGGGATAGAGGGTGGGGAAGAGAGGACATGGAGAAAAAAATAGGGATTAGGTCCTAATTCAATTCAATTAGAAATAGATTGGGTATTAGAATAACCCAATTTTCTCTGGGCTTCGAGGGCTGCAGCACTGCTGGATTTCATCCTTCCCCTCTTATCAGGGACTGATTCTGACCTGGGACACCAGGTTAGCGGAATCTGTGGGCAAACCATGTCATTTATCAACGAATTAACTACAGATGCAGTATTTTATGCACACTGCACAGCATGTTGCACTCACCTGGGTAAAAATCTGTGAGAGAAAGGCAGGCACAAAATAATTTCATTTCCTGGTGATGTTGAAGATGTGTGGCATTTGTTCTTTCAATGTAATGCAATCAAATATTTTTCCCCATGTGATTTTGACCCAGGCGAGTGCAGCATGCTGTGCTGTGACGCGCCCCCCAAAAAAGACTGCATCTCTGAGAGAAAATAAAGTAGTAGTGCTCTGGACCTTTGAATACCCCTGATGTAAAACAGTTGGCTGTAAGTGCTGTACATGATAAATCCAGGAAGCATTGTTATCACACACCAAGCGTAATGTAAGGTGATCAGAGTTCATTTTGGCGGTTACTCTACTTTCTTCCTTATTTTCGCCTTGTGTTGTCAATCAATAAAATGATATTCTCTTTGCTGTGAGAACACACAAATTAATCCTAAAAGTGTTAACAAGAGCAGGGTATTTTGTTTCTTTTGAAAACAGCATAATATTTTGTTAAACTTACCTTAATAATACTGTGTGGAGTTGAGAACTGGGAGACACAGAGAGACACTGATCCTAGTCCTGTGGTGTGAGATGTGAGGCACTGTAAGCATAATGAAGTAGTGTGATGAAAGATTTGTCCACAGCTTAACCACACCCTATGAGTAAGACAGCAAACTAAAATGGCACTAACACACACACAATTAAATACAGTTTGGATCGGCAATGAAACATTGTGCATATACTAATACAACACACAGACACACACATTCAGCCACAAACAGACACACACACACACAGGTTCTCTCTCTCTCTCAAACAGACACACACACACACAGGTTCTCTCTCTCTCTCTCTCTCTCTCTCTCTCTCTCTCTCTCTCTCTCTCTCTCTCTCTCTCTCTCTCTCTCTCTCTCTCTCTCTCTCTATCTCTATCTCTATCTCTATCTCTATCTCTATCTCTCTATCTCTATCTCTATCTCTCTATCTCTCTCAAACTTAGAGCCCAAACTCATCCTCCCAAGCTCACCCCGGTCTCATTCGCAGCTAAAATAAGATATTCCCATAGTACCTTGACCTCCTGCAGAGGGGTCGCTGGCTAAACCCAAGGAATGCTTTTGTGAATGGGCACCGTGGACGGGCCACAACAATGGCCTGACCCACCCATTATACAACCCCTCCCGGTATGATTTGGGGGAAGAGGTTTGAGTCCATCATAATGGGGGGGGGGGGGGGGGGTTTGTTGGCGCGAGAGGGAGAAGGGTGCTGCTACAGACATTTCATAAGAGGAGGGATGTGCAGTCTGCAAATGAAATGTCATCCTATTTGATTACCATGGATGGAATATATTGTTATTCATTGTCATATAAGATCAATGGAATATAGGGAAAGACATACCTGAGACATTATTGATGAATATACACCCTGTATGACTTATGGGACCCATGGAATTAAATATGAGAAAACACATATTGAAGCCAATCCATACACATCATAAAATAATTATGCATGTGAATATCCTAATGTGGATATCTGTGATAGAAATATATATAGAGCTATCATAATTTATAGATGTTGTGACATCCCAAAGCCACAGTATCCTGGTGCTGCTCTGTGCCAGAATGTTAGCGGAAGTCCACTGTAAGAGTCATGGTGGCTAATAGATAACATTGTCTTCTCTGTTTCTAGGCTATAGCCTATTAGTCACCAGAAACAAAGAGCGCCATGCCAACTGTTACTAAGACAGCTGGACACCGCCTCTTGAATGAGTGGGAGTGCTCTTGGGCTTGAGGCACAGTGGAGGGCCCAAGCTACCTACCGTGTGACGTTCAAGGCAACTGCCATCGAGAGAAAAGCTCTGTGCATACTCAGGCTGTACAACTGATGTACAACGTATTTGACACAATGGTTGCGATATAACACATTCAGTATGTTAGCGACACAACAGAAAGTTTGTCAGTCTGCACAAACATTTTACACAACCATTGTGCACTGTCTCTGCAACGCTTGTGTAAATATTTTGTGTGCAGAAAAGCTCTCTGTGGTATTACAACAGTTGTGCCAAATGTGTTGTACATCAGTTGTACAGCTTCAGTGCGTCTGGGGCTACAGTGATAGGACACCCCAACAAACTGCAATACTATCTTAACACTTCAATAAGGCCCGATTCCGACCCGAGTTAAGCGTGCGTAAATGAAACGTAATTCCCTTTTTTATGTGCTTTCCTCTCTATGGCCCCGATTCTGACCTGAGTTCAGCGCACATAACTGGAACGTATTCCCTTTTTATACACTTTACGCGCAATGAAACCATGAATAAGGTCTAGCGAACATACCGGTTCCATGTGGAGAAATAATCTACTTCCAATAAAATTACACCATTCTCCATGCACTGTAATTTGATAAGAGCTATTGATAAGAGCTAGGTAGTAAATGAGTAATCCGTTTAGATAAGGGAATATGAAACCAGTCATATGGCAGCAAACTGAAGCAGTAAAGTTGATGAAATGCTGTGCCATTATGCAGAATTTAAATTCTATGGCCTTTTAGCTTGCAGGGATGGGCATTCTCTAATGTCTTTATTATAGGCTACCCTGACTTACTCTGTTTCCTATCTCTATCATCTTAAATATCAGTATCGACCGTCAGTAGGCCTAATAACCACACATATTAAACTGCCAATTTACTGTTAGTTCCTTCAGTTGGTATAGCCTACATTATCATTCCATTTAATGACATTGTTTCGTTCACCTTCATTTGCTTCCTGTGTAAACACCGTCATGGTCATGTGATTGTTACTGAAGATCATTAATAACAGTTGATAATATAAAAAAAAAGAAATGTAGGCTAATTAAATGGTAATGAGAGGAACGCAGACCAAGCCGTAACAGTTTGAAACCGACCCATTGCGCAATCCTAGGCCATGTCATCAGACAGTTCCATGGTTAGTGCAGGCAATAGACGAGGGTATAGGCTACTATTGTACACTATTCTCCCTATTATAATTCTATGTAAAATAATCTTCCAACATTACCATGTGTTGAAGAACTGAATGTGGCAATTTTGTGAATGAATCAAACCACCGTTTTCTTTCTTTCATGAGTAAAGGCTCTCAAAACCAGTTTTTTTATGATTGATAAATACTTTCCTATACCTAAATAATCTACACTATTTTTTTATCTACCAATTGGTGCTGAAACGGAGACGAATATGCATATATTTAGAAGGTTTTCTTTAACTGATCCCTAATATTCTGAACCCGTTCTCTCAATATATTCTAGTCTGTCAACAAAATTCTAACTAAAAGGTGCACTGTATTCAAAGGGATGGCTTAAGATAAATATACTGAAAATCCCATTGAAGTAAAAATCTGTTGGCCAGCAAGTGGGAGGGTTTTCAGCGGTTGAATGACATTTATTCAGAACAAGCAAGGTAGCCACACCTGCAGAGCTCGTTACGCAACCGAATAAGGTAAGTCTGAATACCAAATACTGAGAAGAAAGGCATAAATTCCTAAGTCGGGATCGGGCCCTTATACATTTCATACGAGCTACAAAATACTTTAAAACTGGAGGAGAGAGTGTCGCTGCCTGAGTTTAAAGCTCTGATAGAAGAAAATGTCATTGACCATTGTAATTGTTTTTAATGTATTGTATTGTATTGTGCTCTTATGTTATGTGTACACGCTGACTACATCCTGCTGACCTCTTGCCAGGTGACCCTCACAAAACCTCAAGGGTCTTTTCCTGGTTAAATAAAGGTTAAATAAATACAAATGCACATGACCATCAGGGGCACACTCAATGTCTTGTTTCACATCTTTATACTGGTTTCATTCTGTAGGCCTAGAATGAACAATGAAGGTCTATTGTTTATATTAATTTGCTAGTTTAATGAAACAGCACAAATATCATTTTGGTTAGTACAATCATAGTGTGGCAGTTAGATCACTGCTATCTATGTGTTGGCCAGAAGACAGTTATTCGACTCATACAAGAGGGTACAACATCTGTCTTTGTGGTGGTTGAATGAATGGGCTGACTGGATTGAATCAGACCTGCTACATTGGTAAACGCACAAAGATTCACCACCCTCGTTTTGAGGAGATAGCTTTCCCACAAATGATTCCTTATTCACTGTGCACTTTTTGGCAACCTTGTTCAATATTGAACCAAATATTCTGATTTCTGGTTCTCAACTCACTCTTTCTCCCCAATGCTACACAATAAATGGAACTCACAAGTAGATGCACGCATTACACAGCAAGTCACAGCAAGTTATATGAAAAGTAATGTGAAAATATTTCTTACGTTGGGGAGGGAGGTGCATTTCCTTATGACACCTCAAGTCTTTACTACTGTCAAACAAATTAGATTATATATATGATATGTCCAGGTTCCAAGGTGAACAATATAAACTGTACACATGTGCCTTGACACCTTATCTAACCAATAATGTTTCTAACTCAATGAACATGCAAAGAAAACAGTGGTGAAAGAAATCTTTACCACTGTTGTTCACTGTAAGCATCTCCTAAAAAGGTACTTCTGCCAGGAAGCTACTAGAATGTAGGCCAGAGCTCTCCAACCCTGTTCCTGGAGAGGTACCGTCCTGTAGGTTTTCACTCCAACCCCAATCTAGCACACCTGATTCTAATAATTAGCTGGTTGATAAGCTGAACCAGGTTAGTTACAACTGGGGTTGGAGGGAAAACCTACAGGAGGGTAACCCTCCAGGAACAGGGTTGGAGATCCCTGATGTAGGCTATGTGCTGTACACAGTATAGTCTATTTGCAATGTCAATGAAATACTTGTAATATGATGGTGGCAAATAGAAAGACATCTTTTGGCCTTCATCTCTGCATATAAAACAGGGATGAATACTTTTTTAACTGAATTGAATAATACTGGGTTATTTTAATAGATCTATAGTAATCTTTCTATTTGAATATTATTGTCAGAATATTATTTCCTGTATCAGATATTGATACTTTTAAAATATGGTAAGACTTTATCCAGGTATAATGGTTTATAACTTGTTATAATGTCTTATAAGAAGGCTTATGTTATGTCTCTCTATTAATACATTTTTCAACCAAACTGGCTGTTATTTAGCAGATCATTATGACATGATTATAAGTCATTATAAAGCAGTCGTAATATGCTGCTCGTGACAAGTAGGCCTATTACAATGCATTATAACTGCATCATTATGCATTATACCTGAATGATTACTGAAAATATTTGTGTTCTTTTTATTTTTTGGGAATTTTATGCACATTATAAAATAATGAGCAGACGGACATCTAGTTTCATCGAGACCACTACACATTTTATAGGCGCAAACACATTCACATAACGTCGTGAGTTACCGGTATGTCAAAGTAGCCTACATTCACTTACCTCGAAATGTGGAGTGGATTCCTTTCGACTGAAGACACGGAGTATAGTCGGTGTTGTCTCTTTGACATCGCTTTAGTTCTGTGCAAAACATGATCCAATCGATAGCACATATCGTCCGGCAAACTCCGGCTACGTGCTCAAATTTGCCCTGGATTCAAAGTGCACACAAACTCAGCCCCGTATTTTCTTAACCCACACCCCCCTTTATAGGTAGGTTTAATTTGATTTAAATATCCCTTAGGCTACAATATAATGCACACTAAGAAAATGTGAACCATTTGGGGTTCAAGGTGATTGCCACGGTGGGGGAACCTTTGGGGTTCATATAGGCTATCTTATTTGTATCCTAACAGTTTAATGCTGACCTATACAGCCTCTATTAATGTATTTATTGCCTATAGGACAACATACTTTTATATTAGCCTATCTCATCTCCCTCCTTATAATTGATAAGGTATTTTTAATAAATCACTTTTCCTTAACATCATGTATACATGTTTATTGAGTATAGCCTAATCAATAAGAGATCCACATATCTTTCAGTAACATCTGCACAGATTAAACAGTATACAAACTCATTTAAATTACAGACATTATTCCCAACTTGTATGCAAAGTTAATGTTACTGTGTTGTGTATGATACATGTGTGTTTTTTATTGAGCTGCCCTCTTGGCCAGATCTCACTCATAAAAGTGAGTGTAGTCCCCTGTAGCTCAATTGGTAGAGCATGGCGCTTGCAACGCCAGGGTTGTGGGTTCGTTTCCCACGGGGGGGCAGTATGAAAATGTATGCACTCACTAACTGTAAGTCACTCTGGATAAGAGTGTCTGCTAAATGACTAAAATGTAATAAAAGAGGTCTTCTGACCTCAATGGGACTTCCTGGATAAATAAAGGTAAAATAAAAAATGCACTTCTCGTTATTCCATACCACATTCAAGTAGATAGAAAAAGAGCAATGTTCCATCTGCCTATTTTCTGTTCATTGTTGCATTAAACATGAATTGTCCCTGTGGAACAATCTTGTGGATGATAGAAGTATCTGTGTTCCTTATGCAGATTCCTACCTCACTCAAAACTCCACTCCTCAAACACCTGTATTAAAACAAACTCAGGAAATACAGCACTCACCTGATCTGTACAGGGTAAAGTACATCACAGCACAGTAAAACACAGCTCTCTCACATACTGGTTCATTTACTCTGTTCTCTCAGAACTCCATGCTACTGTATGTCTCCCACTGCAAAGGTCCTCCCATCATACACAGGTAATACAGAGTCAAGATAGTCTTATTACAGGAAGTAAAACTCATTTTTATTTATTTATTTTTATTTCACCTTTATTTAACCATTGCAGCACTGTAACATTTAGCTCTGTTCTACTGGTGTCTATTTGCCCAATGTGTTCAACAAAGGAATTATGTACTGTATATACACTGAGTGTACAAAACATTAGGAACACCTTCCTAATATTGAGTTGCACCCCTGTTGCCCTAAGAACAGCTTCAATTTGTCAGGGCATGGACTCCACAAAGGTGTCGAAAGGGTTCCACAAGAAGGCCCATGTTGACTCCAATGCTTCCCACAGTTGTGTCAGGTTGGCCATTCTTTATACACATGGGAAACTGTTGAGAGTGAAAAACCCAGCAGCGTTGCAGTTTTTGACACACACAAACCTGTAGGCCTGGCACCTACTACCATACCCCGTTCAAAGGCACTTAAATATTTTGTCTTGCCCATTCACCCTCTGAATGGCACACATACACAATCCATGTCTCAAGGCTTAAAAATTATACTTTAACCTGTCTCCTCCCCTTCATCTACATTGATTGAAGTGGATTTAACAGGTGACATCAATAAGGGATCATAGCTTTCACCTGGATAGTCTATGTCATGGAAAGAGTAGGTGTTCCTAATATTTTATACACTCAATGTAGGTGCAGTGAAATGTATTGTTTTACAGGGTCAGCCATAGTAGTACGGCGCCCCTGGTGCAAATTAGGGTTAAGTGCCTTGCTCAAGGGCACATTGACAGATTTGTTTCACCTTTTCATCTCGGGTATTCAAACCAGCGACCTTTCAGTTACTGGCCCAGCGCACTAACAGCTAGGCTACCTGACACCGGACCAATGACTCAATAATAATGTAAACATTTCAGAGTAGTTTCTGGAGGAGAAACCACTAAAACTGTCTTTATAGCGCTGCTACCAAACAAGGGTGAGTCTTTAAAAGTTAAAGGAACCTCCTTTCTTAGGGCAATACTGACGCAAAAGGTGAGTGTGACTGAGGGAGAAAATGGCTTCCAGACCGTCTCTCCCAGAGGAGGATCTCTCCTGTCCTGTGTGCTGTGACATCTTCAAGGATTCTGTCCTCCTGTCGTGTAGCCACAGCGTCTATAAAATCTGTCTGTAGGAATACTGGAAAGGGAATGAGTGTAAGGAGTGTCCAGTTTGCAGGAGTAGATCGTCAAGACACAAACCTCCATGTAACCTGGTTTTAAAAAACCTGTGTGAGGCCTTCTTACAGGAGAGAAGTCAGAGAGCTTCAAAAGAGTTGCTCTGCAGTCTGCACAGAGAGAAACTCAACCCATTGGTCACACACTGGTTGAATCAACATTGTTTCCACGTCATTTCAATGAAATTACATTGAACCAACGTGGAATAGACGTTGAATTGACGTCTGTGCTCAGTGGAAAGCTCTTCTGTCTGGAGGATAAACAGCCTGTCTGTTTGGTGTGTCAGACTTCCAGAAAACACACAAACCACAAGTCAAGTTCTGTTCCATAGATGAAGCTGCACAGGTTAAGAAGGTAATAAGCAAACTATAAATATGAACTCAGGTCCTCAAGGGTCATTATGTATTCTGGTCTTTGCCTTTTTATCAGAGCAGGTTAATCATGTTTATGGACTCGTTCTCTATAGCCTTAAACAACATTAATCAATCAATTGGAGAAATCAGTCTATTGACGCACCCGTACATAAATCTAAGTAACATAATAAAAAAATCCCCATAAAAATCAGTCAGTTTAGGCTAGAGCGTCTCAATCTACTGCATCCGCCTATGTCGGCCTACAGCATCTGCGGTGGAAGGTGGCCGAGCTACAGCGGTGTTTGTCAGACCATGAGACATCCCGAAAATCCCGAAAATCTGTCTTCTCACGAAAACGGCTGTAGCGTCCGATCGGTTTGGCTACAATTATGACCACTCTATGGAAAGGGGAGACTCTCACGAACATGATGGTGTGCTCTACCACCCCACAAGCCGTACGGGACTCATCTGAAGGTAACCCATACAAACAAAGATATTTCCTGAGCTTTCTTATATCTTCTAGATATAGGACAGACACTTCAAAACTTTATTCTTTATGATACATTTTTGACTGTCTCTTTTACCATGTATGGATGTGTTATTCAATGCATTTCTATGGGCTATAGTAGTGAAGGCCAAATTAAATATTTTATCAAATCATTTTTCTATATTTGTTTTTGATACCTAAAGGGGTCCTAAAATTCAAACTCAAATAGCTAAAAGACCCATGGTATGACCATCTTAAAACAATTCCATAAGTTAGCTTAGTATCCCCCAACGGCTTAGACTTTTAGAGGTTTTAAGCGCTGTGAAGATAATGGTTGTGCACCCCTGGGATATGACACTGATCAATTTAATCTTTCAGTAAAGTAAGGTTTAATTTCAGGCTAAACTCAAGACTGGACTTTGGACCTTATAGGAAAAGCTGGAGATCTTTTATGAAGTTAAATTAACTTGTGATCAAACGGTAGAGCATATAAAGGTGAGAAAGCTGAGTGCTGCTATGATAAAACTTTTTGATTATATAGTGAATAAATGCCTCATTGACTAAACAAGTAATTTGATTAGATAATGGCCTGACTGATTTTACACCTGGAATGTATTTAAACCCTGTTTCTGTTTGAGGGGCGTCTGCTCACGATAGCGCCACATTTGAGTTTTTGCCCTATCACTACACAGCTGATTCTAATAATCAACTCATCATCAAGCTTTGATTATTTGAACAGCTGTGTAGTGCTAGGGCAAAAAACTAAATGTGCACCCCTTGGGGTCCCCAGGGCCAAGTTTGGGAAATGCTGGTCCAGTGGTTTGGTGGTTCCTTGCCGCATGGAGTCTTGTGAGTTTGACGATCTGTTTTAAATTGCATGGTTTGTGAATGTGTTCCTGAACCAGAGCGAAAGGCCACTGCTGAAAATGTATACTTGTTAAACCATGTTTTAAAGGCCCAGTGCAGTCAAAAATGTGATTTTCCTGTGTTTTATATGTATTTCCACACTGAGGTTGGAATAATATTGTGAAATTGTGAACATTATGATAATGCCCTTTTAGTATAAGAGCTGTTTGATAAGAACACCTTACATTTCAGCCTGTTTTGGTGGGATGGAGTTTTGGCTTTCAAAGTGACATCACCATGCAGTAAATTAGTTAATAGACCAATAACAGCAAGTTTCCCCAATAACAGCACATTTTCAGTGTTCCCTTCCCCACTCAGACCCCTCCCAGAGAGTCCTAGCAAAAGTCTTGCTTGAGAAATTGCCCTTTGCTAAGAAGCTATTTGTTTCTTTTAGGCCATTGTAATAATATAATTTTACTGCAGTGGGCTAAATCAGGGTCAGTGTTTCTTGGTAGTCTTAAACAAATCTACTTTGAAACAAAAGTACACACATGGTTATGGGCTTTAAAACATGAAGACACCTGTACCATGTCAGATATAGAGTTGAAATGTATTCAATTTTGAGTTTGCATCCCAATATTACACTTTATATACATCACAGAAGACTGAAATATAACAAAACCATTTGACATAGAAACACAGGATTTTCTGAAATAATGTTTAATAATTATGAACAATATGAATAACATTACACCCATGAGGTCACTAGGTCATTTGACTGCAGGACAGGCTACTTGAAAACAATCACAGTAAGGTACTTAATTGTTACACAGAAATGATTTTATATTGAGATAAAAACAGCTGCATTGAACCTTGAATATATTCAATAGTTAAACTGTTTGCCTCTACTTCACTCGGCCTGCTCAACCCAGATCCAAACAATCTGTTACATTTTCCACCTTTTGACGGATACTCTGTCTTCAGAGCCAGGTCCAGCACACCGAGAAGCTGATTAAGGATGAGTTTTAGAAACATCACCAGTTTCTACGAGATGAAGAGGCAAGCAGGATAGCTGCTCTGAGGGAGGAAGAGGAACAGAAGGGTCAGATGAAGATTGAGGAGATGGGAAGAGAGGTATCATGACTTTCTGACACAATCAGAGCCATATGTGGAGAGTTGAGCACTGAAGATATTTCATTCCTGAGGTAAGAACCAACATCTTTTTCCTTGGTAGACATTATTTAGATTTGTTTGATTGATAACTATGTTGATAATATTGATAAACTGCTATGTTGTTCCTCTACAGAACTACAAGGCCACCTTGAAAAGGTACGCTGCCTCCTGTCTCTCTGCTTTCTGTAGTTCTGAACCCAACCCCACGGCAGCACTGACTCCTGAATGTTTTTCCAGAGCACACTGCCAGATCCAGAGAGGGTTTCAGGAACGCTGATAGACGTGACCAAACACCTGGAGAACCTGAAGTTCAAAGTCTGGGAGAAGATGCAGGAGATGGTTCAGTACAGTAAGTGTTGTTTTGTGATTACATAATGGAAATTACATTTTCTAATAGAAAGAGGTGCACTCGCACACACACACCTTCGCTGGAAATTACAGTATACATTCTTCTGAAAACCATATCAAAAAACAAAGGAAACATGTTTGTCTTGTTTTACATTTTACAAGGTTCTACACAGTTCTCTGTTTAGCTCCCGTGACTATGGGTCCCAACACTGCTCACCCACGTCTCATCCTATCTGATGATCTCACCAGTGTGAGATACAGTAGAGTAGAGAAACGGTCACAGCTATCCGGGATCCTTAGGATGTCCCTACCCTAAACCCTAACCTTTTTAAATTTCAACTTCAATGGGGGGTAGGGATATCCCAAGGATCCCAGATAGCACGGACCGTAGAGAAACACAGCAGCTTCCTGACAACCCAGAGAGATTGGATGAAATGATCCTGAGCTCGGAGGGCTTTGACTCAGGGACACAGTTGTGACATTGCGGTTGGAGACAGTACAGACTGGATTGGATTGTCTGTGTGATGCCAGAGTCTGTCCCCAGGAAGGGAATCGGGTCCTGGGATGAAATCTTGGGAATAAAGCGCTGGTATGATGCATACACAACCCTTATGGACAGAAACCCCAGAGGATCAGAGTGCAGCTCGACTGGGACAGAGGAAAGCTGTTATTTTCTGATCCTGATAATAATACACATATACTAACATACAAACACACTTTCACTGAGAGACTCTTTTGGTGGATCTTCAATTACAGTGACCTGCCTTTGAGGATCTTAGAAATTAAGGCAGTTAAAACTGGTTGCACCTATGTCTGTAAGAGTGGAACAGCACAGTTAGAGCTAATACCACCTCTATAACAGTGGAAAGCAAAGTTAAGAGCTGATACCACCTCGGTCTGCAACAATGGAACTGCACAGTTAGAGGTAATACTATATGTACAGTAAAACAGTATATATAGTCATACTTGACTACAGTATAACAGTGGAACAGCACAGTGAGAGCTATTACTACATACACTGGGTGTACAAAACACTACCCATCCTTACAACCAGGCCCTCATTTTAAGGCTTCTGGAAGTTTAACTTAATTTCTGTACCTTACTGTGAAATGAAGTGAAACTTCCAGAAGCTTTAAATGAGGGCCAGGATGTCAGGATAGGTAATGTACTGTATAAGTACACATTAATTACAAGTAAGTACCCCTCAAGATACACTTCATTTTAATGAGCTAAATCCTGTGTAACAACTAGTAATTACATTGGACTTAGGCAAACATTGTATGTGTATGTGTGCTATTCAGAGGGTGAATGGGAATGACGAAAGATTTAAGTGCCTTTCAACAGGGTATGGTAGAAGGTGCCAGGCGCACCGGTTTGAGTGTGACAAGAACTGCAACGCTGCTGGGTTTTTCACAGTCAACAGTTTCCCGTGTGTATCAAGAATGGACATCCAGCCAACTTGACACAACTGTGGGAAGCATTGGAATCCACATGGGCCAGCATCCCTGTGGAACCCTTTCGACACCTTGTAGAGTCCATGCCCCGACGATTGAGGCTGTTCAGAGGACAAAAGGGGGTGCAACTCAATATTAGGATGGTGTTCATAATGTTTTGTACACTCAATGTCTGTATAACAGCGGAACAGCAGTTAGAGCTGATAGCTCCTACAGGTAACTGACAAAATAATGGAAACACTTGAGTAAATGAGGGATACAAAGTATATTGAAAGTAGGTGCTTCCACACAGGTGTGGTTCCTGAGTTAATTAAGCAATTAACATCCCATCATGCTTTGGGTCATGTATAAAAATGCTGGGCAGGCCATTATTTTGGCTACCATGGTTATGCCCCCATAGAATGACAGTGCCCCCATCCACAGGGCACGAGTGGCCACTGCATGGTTTGATGAGCATGAAAACTATGGAAACCATATGCCATGGCCGTCTCAGTCACCAGATCTCAACCCAATTGAACACTTATGGGAGATTCTGGAGCGGTGCCTGAGACAGCGGCCGTGTCCAAATACCCATACTAGCGTACTAAATAGTAGGCCTTTTGAGTACGCGAACAATAGCATGTGACATTGCGAAAATGTATTGTGCTTTAAAAGCCGGGATGTCATACTCATTTCGGCTTATCATGTAGTATGAATGAATTGTAAACCTTTCAGGAATTTCACACACACACTCCCACACACACACACACACACACACACACACAATGCATTCAAACCAGATAGGAGGGCTTCGAAATGTGATAGTTCTCTGAAGATAAACAAAAAACAAATTGAAGATGGCAAAGACAATGAGCAAAGAGTCTCCTGCACTGTTCAAATGCCAGTCATTTTTTTGTCCTTAAAATGATCACGACATTTAATCGTATATCTTTTAAAACAGATCGTTACTTGCAGCATGCCGTGCCTTTACTTTAGCTAAATACATTAGCTAACGTTAAGCTATGTGCTTTAGTAGGACTTGAAGTTAGCTGAATACCTGATAAGCTTGCTGTTGTTGAGCGACAATTTTCATATTTAACCTAGCTAGCCAGTTATATATGCGAAGCCGTACCAAAGTAGTACGCTACGGCCGTGGCATACTGCATACTTTTTACTAAACATGATATCATAAATAGTATGCGAAGATGAGTACATACTATGCAGTTTAAATATGTAGTACGCTAGTATGGGTATTCGGACACACACAGCGTTTTCCACCACCATCAACAAAACACCAAATTAGGGAATTTCTTGTGGAAGAATGGTATCGCATCCCTCCAATAGAGTTCCGGACACTTGTAGAATCTATGCCAAGGTGCATTGAAGCTGTTCTGGCTCGTGGTGGCCCAATGCCCTATTAAGATGCTTTATGTTGGTATTTCCTTTATTTTGGCAGTTACTTGTATGTATAACAGTGGAACAGCACAGTTAAGAGCTGATACCACCTCTGTAACAGTGGAACAGCACAGTTCAGCCTAATTTATCAGAGAATCAGACCCATTGCTACTAGCGTTAGCACAATGATATGCTAGCTGTTCCCATAGACTTCCAGTCATTGAGCCAATGACTAACCATTTAAAAGTATGTCTCAGCAGAAATATATAAAAAATGACATTTTTTGCAGGACACACACAGGGACTTAAAAAGACGCACAGCCGTACACACGGACATAGGGTCGCCATCAATAATGGCTGATCCCTGGCCGTGACCCCACTCTCCGAGGGTGTATAAGGGGGAGTGGGATATGCAAAAAACGAATTGCCAATTCACACGTGTATAATACACACTTGTACATGTTAGGTATTACTGTTAGGTATTACTGTTGTTGATAAAACAAGTTTACTGGAGAACGGAGACCAAGTAGAGACTTTTGGACAAGGTGGATAATTGTATAATATAAGGCAGTTTATTCAGAGGTAAAGATATCTGGAATCGCGTGCACGGACCCGTTCGTCAATCTCGTAGGGAGATATCTGAGAGAGCCCCGAAACATTGTGTGCTGACATTTTATACAATAAAATGAAGTAGGTTGATTCTAGTAGTTCTGATCTTCTGATTGGTCCTGATGAGTTGGGCGAGGTCCCCTCCAGGTTAGTATCACTGTTGCATTGGCTCTGAGTCGGGTTCTCTGTCTTCAGATGTTCAGCCTAAGAGAAGGGGATTTTTGTGTGTGTGTGTGTGTGTGTGTGTGTGTGTGTATGTGTGTGTATGTGTGTGTGTGTGTGTATGTGTGTGTGTATGTGTGTGTGTGTGTGTGTGTGTGTGTGTGTGTGTGTATGTGTGTGTGTGTGTGGGGGTGTGTGTGTGTGTGTGGGGGTGTGTGTGTGTGTGTCCTCAGAGCAAGAACTCGTGAGTTGGAAGAACTGAGAGACCTATGGCGTGGGTGTTGTCCTTAGCCACCTGCTGATAAGGCTGACAAGATAGGACTCTTTTGTGCATTGTATTGAATACAAAGGCCCAACACAAAATGGGTCATGCACAAGATTTTAGTCAGACCAAGCTATAACATTATATATTTACTACGACACTGTACTGTTGGAGCTAGGAACATAACCGCAACATCTGCAAAATATTTGTACGCGATCAATACAATTGAATATGATATAGAGCAGGACTGCCCAACCCTGTTCCTGGAGAGCTACCGTCCTGTAGGTTTTTGCTCCAACCCTAATCTAGCACACCTGATTCTAATAATTAGCAGGTTGATAAGATTAATCAGGTTAGTAACACCTGGGGTTGGAGCGAAAACCTACAGGAGGGTAGCTCTCCAGGAACAGGATTGGGCAACCCTGATATAGAGGAAACACTTTACAGTTATGATATTCCAATGTGGTGCTTCACCATCAAACACATTTTCCTTTCCACATTTGTTACAGTTTTGATAGAACCAGTGGTTTAATGGCGAGTAAATGCACGTGAATGCCATTTACTCACTTTTTTTGCGTGCAAGTGTTTACCCACCTATCAGGGAAAAATGCATTGAAAGTATAGAAAGCGTTACTTCACTCACCACCAACGGCGATCAGCGTTTACCCACCAATTTTATTTACCACTACACCACTGGATAGAACGTCATGTAACATATGAAACACTTTGGCCAGAATTAAATAATTTCAGATAGTTTTTTGCACTGTGTTTTCAGAAGTGCATTTGACTTCCAGAGCAGCATCTCTTGGTTGGAATGAAATTACACTATTTAGAAACCGGCAGTGCTGTTACTAGGATGTTCTGCGAACTTCTCAGCCAGGTTTACTGTCAGTACTGATTGGCATACACCACAGTACTGCCGATTTCTAAATCAAGTGTCGGCTCCCTCCAACAGGCACACACTGCTGTGCAAATCAAACTTCAGAAGTGTCGTGCGAAAAACAACAACTTTTGCAATAGTCTATATTCAATTCTGTTGTGAAAAGAGAAGCAGAAAAATGTCTGCTGCTAAAAACTGAATTTGATTTTTTTAAAGGTATAGACATGGTTTGTCAGGAGGATTTCCATATAATTTGACTCACCATACTTCCATACTTTTTATACCATCTCTCTCCTTTTAAATGCATATAGGCTTCACTATGGAATGTCGAAGCACAAGGTAAGGCAACAGTCCTGCCATCCTGCAGTGTCCACTCTCCTCCAGTGTGCATGCCTTGCTGGAATCACCCCTGAAACCCCTGATAAAGTCCCTTTGTGGTTACAATATTGCCAAGACCAAACTACAGAGAGCATCTAAACAGTGTGCGGGTCCCTATCATTTTCACATTTGACACTTTTCTGTATCCTGCAACTGTAAAGGTTTGTCGGATTTAGGTACACTCGTTCAGTCCCACTTCGCTTGTGGTTTCAAGTCTCTTTGTAATGCTGTCGGTCACGGACCGGGGTCTGTGTTTGGCAGCCCTCTCACTCCTTCCTCCCACACCCCACACAGGCAGCTGACTCTGGGGAGGTGGGGGGCGAACACCACCTCCAGCCTGCGGGGTGCGCTGCTGCCGCCATGCTCCCCAGTGCCCACGCAGCCCGGGAGGCGGAGCAGCATCAGCCTCACCATCACCTGGTTGGCCCAGGCCATGCCCAGGGCGGGCAGCACCTTATTGTCCACCAGCCTGGGAAAGAAGTGCGCGCACGCACACACACACACACACACACACAAACACACACACACACACCGTCAATAATGTCTGATCCCTGGCCGTGACCCCACTCTCCGGGGGTGTCTGAGGGGGAGTGGGATATACAATCAACAAAATTCCAATTCACACATGTATTAACACACACTTGTACATGTGTGAAATAGGACAAACGTAAGCACCCACCTTATTACTGCTACTACTACTATTATTCGAAGACACACAGCCATAGAGACACACACACCACACAGAGGTGCACACGCACACACACTAATGATACATGGGATCTATACTTGTATCTCTCTATGCTAGTAAATATAATCAGGAGACTCAAACAGCTTACCCAAAGTTACAGTGTGCTGGATCTGGGCCATCAATTACATCTGTCACCTGAAGAGGTACGGTGCAATAACTCATTACATTATTCTGAACATGCTGCTAGCTTTTGTTTATCTATAGGGTCAGGCTACTATAACAAAATTATATCATGCAATATCAATAGAACACATCCAACAACACATTATTAATTTGATATATCCTTTATTTAAACAGCAAAGTCACATTGAGATAAACATCTCCTTTTCAAGTGAGCCAAGAAAGCATAATACATAATCTAGGTTGACATGCATGTGTAGCAGAACTGGGTGAAATACATGAAGTTTACGTATATACTCGAGTTTGCACTTTTGGAACTATTTCAGTGTTTCCCCTACTAGTACCAGGCAAACCTAAATAGTCTTTGATATAGTGCATTTAACCCGGGTCTGCTGAGCAGTTAAGGCTCTTCCCTACCTGGTTGATGCACAGCACCGGGGTACTGTAGTTGTGACTCAGGCGGTGGAGAGTGGCAGCAAAGGTCAGCATGTGGCGGGCTCTCTCGATGCCCTCGTCCGCCTGGAACTCGCTGCGGAACAGGGCCGCCACTGAGTCCACCACCACCAGCCGGACCAGGCCCCGGGAGAGCAGGATGGGCACCCGCTGGGACACGCAGGCCTGCAGTGCACCCTGTTGGGACAGCACAGAAACCCTGGTCACATGTACAGTGCCTTCGGAAAACTGAAATACCTTATTTACATAAGTATTCCGACTCTTTCCTATGAGACTCAAAATTGAGCTCAGGTGCATCCTGTTTCCATTGATCATCCTTGAGAGGTTTCTACGACTTGGAGTCCACCTGTGGTAAATTCAATTGATTGGACATGAAAAGGCACACGCCTGTCTATATAAGGTCCCACAGTTGACAGTGCATGTTAGAGCAAAAACCAAGCCATGAGGTCAAAGGAATTGTCCGTAGAGCTCCGAGACAGGATTGTGTCGAGGCACAGATCTGGGGAACGGTACCAAAAAATGTCTGCAGCATTGAAGGTCCCCAAGAACACAGTGGCCTTCATCATTCTTAAATGGAAGAAGTTTGGAACCACCAAGACTCTTCCTAGAGCTGGCCGTCTGGCCAAACTGAGCAATCGGGGGAGAAGGGCCTTGGTCAGGGAGGTGACCAAGAACCCTATGGTCACTGACAGAGCTCCAGAGTTCCTCTGTGGAGATGGGAGAACCTTCCAGAAGGACAACCATCTATGCAGCACTCCACCAGTCAGGCCTTTATGGTAGAGTGGCCAGACAGAAGCCACTCCTCAGTAAAAGGCACATGACAGCCCGCTTTGAGTTTGCCAAAAGGCACCTAAATACTCTCAGACCATGAGATTCTCTGGTCTGATGAAACCAGGATTGAACTCTTTGGCCTGAATGCCAAGTGTCACTTCTGGAGGAAACCTACGGTGAAGCATGGTGGTGGCAGCATCATACTGTGGAGATGTTTTTCAGCGGAAGGGACTGGGAGACTAGTCAGGATCGAAGCAAAGATGAACGGAGCAAACTACAGAGAGATCCTTGATGAAAATCTGCTCCAGAGCACTCAGGACCTCAGACTGGGGGCGAAGTTTCACCTTCCAACAGGACAACGACCCTAAGCACACAGCCAAGACAACGCAGGAGTTGCTTTGGGGCAAGTCTCTGAATGTCCTTGAGTGGCCCAGCCAGAGACCGGACTTGAACCCGATCGAACATCTCTGGAGAGACCTGAAAATAGCTGTGCAGCAACGCTCCCCATCCAACCTTATAGAGCTTGAGAGGATCTGCAGAGAAGAATGGGGAAACTTCCCAAATACAGGTGTGCCAAGCTTGTAGCATCATACCCAAAAAGACTTGAGGCTGTAATCGCTGCCAAAGGTGCTTCAACAAAGTACTGAGTAAAGGGTCTGAATACTTATGTAAATGTGATATTTCCATTATTATTTTGTTTTAAATATAAATTAGCAAAAAAATCCAGGCCTCCTGAGTGGCGCAGTGGTCTAAGGCACTGCATCGCAGTGCTAGCTGTGCCACTAGAGATCCTGGTTAGAGTCCAGGCTCTGTCGCTGCCGGCCGCGACCGGGAGACCCATGGGGCAGCGCACAATTGGCCCAGCGTCCAGGCTAGGGAGGGTTTGGCCGGCAGGGATGTCCTTGTCCCATCGTGCTACATATCTACGTCTGGAAAGCCAATTCTATGCGGACGCGTCATGAACTGCTCTCAACCTGTGCCAGTGGCGTTTTATAGGAATTCTCCACTACAGTGGGTGTCTGTTGCACCACTGTCTTACCAGATCGGCAGCGTGCTCTATATAGATGTTGTCGCTGAAACGGATGCTCCGTATCAGGGCCTGGGGAAGCTCTGGCCGCAACCGAGCCTGCTGGGTAATGAGCTGCCACAGACGCTTGATGGGAAACGAGTCCTCTGTGCAAATATACACAGCTCCTGCAGGTGTAAAGACAAACACACATACAACATTTCATGCCATAAGCAGCACTATCTGACAATAATTAAAAAGTTACAATATTTAGGCAATATGGGTTTACAGGCAGAACATCAGGACAAAATACTGTCAACAAAGAGCTGGGTCACGTTTATTAGGACATGCAATGGAAAACGTTTTCAAATGTTTTGCAACCGAAATTAAAATGAGTGTTCCTTATTGGACAGGCTAGTCCAGTTTGTCCCTCCCCGATTCAGTCCGATTTATCCATTAGGTCACCTGAATTGAGCCCTCCATACTCCAGTGGGTACTGCACAGAGAGACACAGCTGCAAGCCAAACTGGGTCTTTCCTGCACTGCTCTCCCCTGCCAGTTCTGTGATGCCGCTCAACGGTACACCACCTCGCAGTAGAGCGTCCAGAACGGGGCAAGCCAAACTTAGCTTGTACCCAGTTTCCAAAGAGGGAAACTCTCCGCGGTGCACTTGTAAGGCTGTGTGAAAACAAACAGATAATCAGTTAGTTTGAATAATAGACTATAACTTGTTTGAACCTAGGATTGTAAAGCCTAGGCTACAATCACTTCCGGGTGGCTAGATACAGTGATAGAGTGAGACTCCAACTCTGGTCCTCGTGAGTTACTGGGTGTGCAGGCTTTTGTTAATTAAAGCAATGCTGCAGAGGACTGAAAACAACTTTGTTACTTTTTAAACCTCCTGTTTTGGACTCAACCTTAAATTAACTAGGCTACTTTTCCATTCGCTAGTCAGAAGAAAAAAAAAGTATGCCCTGCCCTCTCCCACTAGAATGAACTATATGCATCTTCTAGCGATCTATTGATAGGACAGGGACATGTCAGTCACAAAGCGAGCGATGACAGGGAAACACTGCTGGTTTGACAGTCTGGCCCCCCGTCCCGCCTCCCAGTACCTATGGGCAGTGTGATTTGTGTGCGCTGTGGTTGGCTGCAGTCAAATTTCTTTACATGGAGGAGGAGGAGAGCATGATGCTCCTTCATCGTCTCTGTGAGTACATTTCAGGGCTCTACAGTGCGACCATTTTACTCGCATATGCGCCTAAAAATAGATGTGTTCGAACTGAAAAAGTAAAAAGTATGACCAGGTGCGAGTTGTGATTTATAGCAAACAAAAATCCTGCCGTAGCTATTTTCAAAGTATTTCTGCCGTTTTGTTTCATAGCTGGTAGCAAATGACACAAACATAGAAATAAGAATGATTTCTTATTTCTATGCAAAGAACTACGTAGAGTCCCATATATTCCACCTCGTGTGCAGCATCTTTCTTAGAGAAGAGAAAGAGCAGGCGAGCCAGCGAGGGTGGGAGAGGGGCAGGCAGACAACCAGAACCGTGCGCATAGGCTATATCTTGGTAATCTTTATCGCAATGTCTTGCAATGCCTAGTAAATACACCAAAAGTATATTAAAGTACAGATTTTACTATCAATGTGTATGGGCTAATATATTTTACATAGTGCCAGTGAATTGAAGTTGAACATTGCCCAATGAGACAGTTTAATTAGGCCTAAATGTTAACTGTATATTATCCATGTCCATGTCACCCATGCCTCCAAGAAGCATAGCATAGTTCAATTCTTAATGTCCCGTTGATAGGATAGTCTCAAACGTAGTTCGTCCAGTTTATTCTCCAGCGATTGCACATTTGTCGATAGAACAGAGGGTAGAGGCGGTATATTCACTCACCGCCATAGTCTCATCAGGGTTACTGCACGTCGGCCCCTATAGCAACCGTCTTTTTCACTTCCAAGTGTCAGGGATGAGCAATATATGTCCTGTGCCGAAGACTCATTGAAGGATCCTTTCAGACCACTGCAATTTATCTCATACACCATTGAAATTTAAATTGAATTGACATTTTAACTTGTAGTTACTACCACAGACGGCCGCCGGTCCACCCACCGTCGAAAGTCAACATAAATGGTCATGTCTATTATATTATATACATTTCAGTTTCCTATTGAGGATTGACAGTATAATTTAAAACAGATACAGTGCCTTCGGAAAGTATTCAGACCCCTTGACTTTGTCCACTTTTTGTTACAGCCTTATTATAAAATGGATTAATTAAATAAGAATCCTCAGCAATCTACACACAAAACCCCATAATGACAAAGCGAAAACAGGTTTGTAGAAATGTTTGCAAATGCATTACAACCTGTAATTTAAATGGATTTTTATTTGGATTTCATGTAAAGGACATACACAAAATAGTCCAAATTGGTGAAGTGAAATTCAAAAAATTACTTCTTTCAAAAAATTATTTAGAAAATAATGGAAATGTGGTGTGTGCATTAGTATTCAACCCCTTTGCTATGAAGCCCATAAATAAGATCTGGTGCCACCAATTACCTTCAGAAGTCACATAATTAGTTAAATAAAGTCCACCTGTGTGCAATCTAAGTGTCACCTGATTTGTCACATGATCTCAGTATATATACACACACCTGTTATGAAAGGCCCCAGAGTATGCAACACCACTAAGCAAGGAGCACCACCAAGCAAGCGGCACCATGAAGACCAAGGAGCTCTCCAAACAGGTCAGGGACAAAGTTGTTGAGAAGTACAGATCAGGGTTAGGTTATAATAAAATATCCACAACTTTGAACATCCCACGGAGCACCATTAAATCCATTATAAAAAAACTGAAAGAATATGGCACCACAACAAACCTGCCAAGAGAGGGCCCCCCACCAAAACTCAGGGACTAGGCAAGGAGAGCATTAATCAGAGAGGCAACAAAAAGATCAAAGATAACCCTGAAGGAGCTGCAAAGCTCCACAGTGGAGATTGGAGTATCTGTCCATAGGACCACTTTACAGAGCTGGGCTTTACGGAAGAGTGGCCAGAAAAAAAGCCATTGCTTAAAGAAGAAAATAAGCATACACATTCGGTGTTCGCCAAAAGACATGTGGGAGACTCCCCAAACATATGGAAGAAGGTACTCTGGTCAGATGAGACTAAAGTGGAGATTTTTGGCCATCAAGGAAAACCCTATGTCTGGCGCAAACCCAACAACTCTCATCACCCCGAGAACACCATCCCCACAGTGAAGCATGGTGGTGGCAGCATCATGCTGTAGGGTACAAAAAAATGTCTGCAGCATTGAAGGTCCCCAAGAACAGTGGCCTCCATCATTCTTAAATGGAAGAAGTTTGGAACCACCAAGACTCTTCCTAGAGCTGGCCGCAGGGCCAAACTGAGCAATCGGGGGAGAAGGGCCTTGGTCAGGGAAGTGACCAAGAACCCGATGGTCATTCTGACAGAACTCTAGAGTTCCTCTGTGGAGATGAGAGAACCTTCTAGAAGGACAACCATCTTTGCAGCACTCCACCAATCAGGCCTTTATGGTAGAGTGGCCAGACGGAAGCCAATCCTCAGTAAAAGGCACATGACAGCCCGCTTGGAGTTTGCCAAAAGGCACCTAAAGACTCTCAGACCATGAGAGACAAGATTATCTGGTCTGATGAAACCAAGATTGAACTCTTTGTAAAAATTGTTTGAACTTAGACTTTTTTTTGGAAGTACACTACATGACCAAAAGTATGTGGACACTCGAACTGCTCGTCGAACATTTCATTCCAAAATCATGGGCATTAATATGGAGTTAGTCCCCCCTTTGCTGCTATCACAGCCACTCTTCTGGGAAGGCTTTCCACCTGACGTTGGAACATTGCTGCGGGGACTTGCTTCCATTCAGCCACAAGAGCATTAGTGTGGTCGGGCACTGATGTTGGGCGATTAGGCCTGGCTCGCAGTAGGCGTTCCAATTCATCCCAAAGGTGTTCGATGGGGTTGAGGTCAGGGCTCTGTGCAGGCCAGTCAAGTTCTTCCACACCAATCTTGACAAACCATTTGTGTATGAACCTCGCTGTGTGCACGGGGGCATTGTCATGCTGAAAAAGGAAAGGGCCTTCCCCAAACTGTTGCCACAAAGTTGGAAGCACAGAATCGTCTAGAATTTAATTGTGTGCTGTAGTGTTAAGATTTCCCTTCACTGGAACTAAAAGGGCCTAGCCCGAACCATGAACAACAGCCCCAGACAATTATTCTTCCTCCACCAAACTTTAAATATTTGCACTATGCATTGGGGCAGGTAGTGTTCTCCTGGCATCCGTCAAACCCAGATTCGTCAGTCGGACTGCCAGATGGTGAGGCGTGATTCATCACTGCAGAGATTGCGTTTCCACTGCTCCAGAGTCCAATGGCGGTGAGCTTTACACCACTCCAGCCGACACTTGGCATTGCATATGGTGATCTTAGGCTTGTGTGTGGGTGCTCGGCCATGAAAACCCATTTCATGAAGCTCCGGACAAACAGTTATTGTGCTGACATTGCTTCCAGAGGCAGTTTGGAACTCGGTAGTGAGTGCTTCAACCGAGGACAGACGATATCTGTGCGCTTGTGTGGCCTACCACTTCGCGGCTGAGCTGTTGTTGCTCCTAGACGTTTCTACTTCACAACAACAGAACTTACAGTTGACCGTAGAAATTTGACAAATTGACTTGTTGCAAAGGTGGCATCCTATGACGGTGCCACATTGAAAGTCACTGAGCTCTTCAGTAAGGCCATTCTACTGCAAATGTTTTTTATGGAGATTGCATGGCGGTGTGCTCGATTTTATACACCTGTCAGCAACAGGTGAAATAGCCGAATCCAATAATTTGAAGGGGTATATATATATATATATATAGTTTTTGTATATATAGTGTATATTTTATGGAAAATACATACAAGGTTTCTGAACAACGCATCATGCTGCTTCAAGGCATTGTTGACATGACAGAGCAGTGCAGATTATTATTAGATTTGAGAAGGGTGCTCATGCCTCTCTGCTTTTGCCCGTTCACGTTACAATATTATCACAATATTTTTACCATGGCAAAAATGAAAACATGAAGCAGACCAAACCCTTTTGTCATTTAAAAACCTGCTGTATGTAAAAATCAGGGGTGCACATGGCCCCCTCCACATTCTGAAATTGCATTTTTGTCCCCCCCAGTTTTATCATTGAAATGTGATACAAAACGAGGCAACAGTGTGCTTTAGGAACATGCAAACGCCTCTGAGCGGTCGGGTAGGCTGTTTGGAGTGTTTATCCGACAAAAAACTAAACAAAAAAACACTTCTATAGCTTGGAAAATGTATAAATGTAACTCTGGAAGTCAACATAATGTTTCCAACATTAGGGCTGTTTTCCTAAAGAAGAAGTAGTTAATAGGAATGAGACTTTTAGATCGCATAAACGTCTATTCATACACGTCAGATTTCAATACTGGCCAATTTCATAACGCGGGAGGTTGTCTATTTTTGCGATATTCCTACCTCGAGAAATGTGTAATTTAACAGAGGGTCCACCACATTACTCCCATTTGTCTGCCTCTTCAGTCAGCGTGTATTGTATGGTGCCGTTGCGAATGTCAGACTCTACTCTGCGAGGCACATCGATCTGCAGGTTGAACATGGTTAGATTATAGACTCCTACATTTATAGTGCAGTTTGTTTAGGCGATTTTATAGCTAACTAGCTACTTCACATGCTGATATTGACTGGTATTATTGTATTGTACCATCACATATTTAAAAACGGGAGGCAACAGTCATAATATAACTGTCTTAACAGCCAATGTGTATTATTTAACACTACCATTAAAATAGTACTCACTTACAGGAATGGGTAATTGTTTACAAGTTGCTAACTATCCCATAAAGCCATCACCGAAAACCACATATTGTCATCTTCTTCTGTGGTTTGGTAACTTCCTGTTCTTCGAGTTTGAAAGATTTAAATGTATGCAGCGTCCGTCTCGCAATGAAGCCTTCAACAGCAAGGGGGTATTGCGACTCCATTCCATTGAAATGCATGACATCCGGCGCAACTTAACTGAGTGCTTATGGGTAATGTGAATGAGGCGAGCAATATCCACCAGCTGGAATGTGAAGCTGAACCTGGTTAGCTTTAGAAAACCCTGATTAGATCTAGCTTGTTTGTAGGATACCCCTCAGGTGTTGTGACATACCTTTGAGTTATTTAGCAGACGCTCTTATCCAGAGCGACATATCGTAGTGAGTGCATCCATGTTCATATTTTGTTTTTACTGGTCCCCAATGGGAATCGAACCCACAACCCTGGTATTGCAAGTGCCTTGCTCTACCAACTGAGCCACACGGGACTGTGTGTATATCAGACATCAGGCTTTAAAGGGTTAGCCCGCACTAACACACCTGTCTAAACGTAGCTAGTTACAGTTGAAGTCGGAAGTTTACATACACCTTAGCCAAATACATTTAAACTCTGTTTTTCACAATTCCTGACATTTAATCCTAGTAAATATTCCCTGTCTTAGGTCAGTTAGGATCACCACTTTATTTTAAGAATGTGAAATGTCCGAATAATAGTAGAGATAATGATTTATTTCAGCTTTTATTTCTTTCATCACATTGCCAGTGGGTCAGAAGTTTACATACATTCAATTAGTATTTGGTAGCATTGCCTTTAAATTGTTTAACTTGGGTCAAACGTTTCAGGTAGCCTTCCACAAGCTTCCCACAATAAGTTGGGTGTATTTTGGCCTATTCCTCCTGACAGAGCTGGTGTAACTGAGTCAGGTTTGTAGGCCTCCTTGCTCGCACACGCCTTTTCAGTTCTGCCCACAAATGTTCTATTGGATTGAGGTCAGGGCTTTGTGATGGCCACTCCAATACCTTGACTTGTTGTCCTTAAGCCATTTTGCCACAACTTTGGAAGTATGCTTGGGGTCATTGTCCATTTGGAAGACCCATTTGCGACCAAGCTTTAACTTCCTGACTGATGTCTTGAGATGTTGCTTCAATATATACACATAATTTTCCTTCCTCATGATGCCATCTATTTTGTGAAGTGCACCAGTCCCTCCTGCAGCAAAGCACCCCCACAGCATGATGCTGCCACCCCTGTGCTTCACGGTTGGGATGGTGTTCTTCGGCTTGCAAGCTATCCCCTTTTTCCTCCAAACATAACGATGGTCATTATGGCCAAACAGTTCTATTTTTGTTTCATCAGACCAGAGGACATTTCTCCAAAAAGTATGATCTTTGTCCCCATGTGCAGTTGCAAACCGTAGTCTGGCTTTTTTATGGCGGTTTTGGAGCAGTGGCGTCTTCCTTGCTGAGCGGCCTTTCAGGTTATGTCGATATAGGACTTGTTTTACTGTGAATATAGATACTTTTGTACCTGGTTTCCTCCAGCATCTTCACAAGGTCCTTTGCTGTTGTTCTGGGATTGATTTGCACTTTTTGCACCAAAGTACGTTCATCTCTAGGAGACAGAACACGTGTCCTTCCTGAGCGGTATGACGGCTGCGTGGTCCCATGGTGTTTATACTTGCGTACTATTGTTTGTACAGATGAAAGTGGTACCTTCAGGCGTTTGGAAATTGCTCCCAAGGATGAATCAGACTTGTGGAGGTCTACCTTTTTTTTTTGGTTGATTTCTTTTGATTTTCCAATGATGTCAAGCAAAGAGGCACTGAGTTTGAAGGTAGGCCTTGAAATACATCCACAGGTACACCTCCAATTGACTCAAATTATGTCAATTCGCCTATCTGAAGCTTCTAAAGCCATGACATCATTTCCTGGAATTTTCCAAGCTGTTTAAAGGCACAGTCAACTTAGTGTATGTAAACTTCTGACCCACTGGAATTGTGATACAGTGAATTATAAGTGAAATAATCTGTCTGTAAACAATTGTTGGAAAAATTACTTGTGTCATTCACAAAGTAGATGTCCTAACCGACTTGCCAAAACTATAGTTTGTTAACAAGAAATTTGTGGAGTGGTTGAAAAACAAGTTTTAATGACTCCAACCTAAGTGTATGTAAACTTCCGACTTCAACTGTAGCTAGTTGGTGTGTTAGTGCTGGGCTGGAATCAAAACCTGCAAACCCAGTAGCTCTCCATGTTCGGAGTTGGAGAATCCTGCAATAGAATAGAGCATGCCTACCTGTTACAGGCGAATGTCTGCGGTAAGAGACAGCAACAGCTGTGTGCAGGTGTTGCACGTCTGACTTTGACAGGTGGGTGAGTCGTTGTAGATCCGGACCCGAGAGACTGAGAATCTCCCTCGCTGATTTCACATTAGCTAAGATCAACATAAATTCATTATGAGCAAAGACGCACCTACAGCATGCATTTTAACAACACAACGTTGACTAGCAAAGCAAAATGTTGTACAGTGCCTTCAGAAAGTATTCACACCCATTGACTTTTTCCACATTTGTTGTTGTTATAGCCTGAATTTAAAATAGATTACATTGATATGTTTCGTCACTGGCCTTCACACTATACACCATAATGTCAAAGTGGAATTATGTTTTTCAAAATGTTTCAAAATGTATACAAAAATGAAAAGCTAAAATGTATTGAGTCAACCCCTTTGTTATGGCAAGCCTAAATAAGTTCAGGAGTAAAAATGTGCTTAACATGTCACATAATAAGTTGCATGGACTCACTCTGTGTGCAATTAGTGTTTAACATTATTATTTTATGACTCATCTCTGTACCCCCCACACACAAAATTATCTGTAAGGTCCCTCAGTGGACCTCAATGACTAGTGAGGTTTTCCAATCCCTCGCAAAGAAGGGCACCTATTGGTAGATGGGTTAAAAAAAAGATGACATTGAATATCCATTTGAGCATGGTGAAGTTATTAATTACACTTTGGATGGTGTATCAATATACCCACTCACTACAAAGATACAGGCATCCTTCCTAACTCAGTTGCCAGAGAAGAAGGAAACTGCTCAGGGATTTCACCACGAGGCCAATGGTGACTTTAAAACAGAAAAAAGTTGAATGTGACAGGAGAAAACTGAGGATGGATCAACAACATTGTAGTTACTCCACAATACTAACCTAATTGAGAGTGAAAAGGAAGCCTGTACAGAATAAAAAATATTCCTAAACATTACATTTACGTCATTTAGCAGATGCTCTTATCCAGAGCGACTTACAAATTGGTTTAAACATGCATCCTGTTTGCAACAAGGCACTGAAGTAATACTGCCACAAATGTGGCAAAGAAATTAACACTTTGTACTCAGGACAAAAAGTTGTGATTGGGGCATATCCAATACAACCCATTACGGAATACCACTCTCCATATTTTCAAGCATAGTGGTGGCTGCATCATGTTATGGGTATGCTTGTAATCGTTAAGAACTGGTGAGTTTTTCGGGATAAAAAGAAACGGAATGGAGCTAAGCACAGGCAAAATCCTAGATGAAAACCTGGTTCAGTCTGATTTCCACCAGACACTGGGAGATGAATTCACCTTTAAGCAGGACAATAGCCTAAAACACAAGAAGACAGTGAATGTTCCTGAGTGGCCGAGTTACAGTTTTGACTTAAATCTATTTGAAAATCTATGGCAATACCTGAAAATGATTGTCTAGCAATGATCAACAACCAATGACAGAAATTGAAGAATTTTTTAAAGAATAATGGGCAAATGTTGCTCAATCCAGGTGTGGAAAGCTCTTTGAGATTTACCCAGAAAGACTCACAGCTGTAATCTCTGCCAAAGGTGCTTCTACAAAGTATTGACAAAGGGGTGTGAATACTTATGTAAATGAGATATTTCTGTATTTCATTTTCAATAAATGTGCACAAAAAATCTAAATACATCTTTTCACTTTGTCATTATGGTGTATTGTTTGTAGATGGGTGAGAAAAAAATTATATTTAAACAATTTTGAATTTAGGCTGTAACACAACAAAATGTGGAATAAGTCAAGGGGTATAACATTAGCTAAGTTTCCAAGTCATATGGCAATACAACTCAGGAGGTTGGTGGCACCTTAATTGGTGAGGACGGGCTCATGGTAATAGCCTACCACAGTATGATTCTGATGAGTCATAACACCCATATAACCTAGCGGTCAAACACAAATGGTTCCAATCGTTTTTCCACCATTCATTTTATCCATTGTGAATTTTAGAAACATTTAAAATAAGGGCTGTGTATCTGGCCCCACGGGGGGCCAGTATGAAAAATGTATGCACTCACTAATTGTAAGTTGCTCTGGATAAGAGCTTCTGCTAAATTACTAAAATGTCAATTGGATCACTAAATGTAGGCTTACCCTGGCGTGACGTTTTCATAACCATGTAAATCTCTCTCAGACAAGGTGACTTGCATTTATTTACCCCTCCAAAATTAAATGCTAATTAGCTGCTAATGTGGCTATCATACAGCACTACAAATGCCCGTCTCAAGCTTCACATCACTCACCAGGGCCATGATGACCTGGACGAGACTGTCGAATCGAGGTAAAGGTAAGAATCTCTGGATTAACTATCTAATGTTAGCTAAATGTATTAATAAATTGGCTAAAGTTGTTTAAATGGACAATTCTGTGAACTGTCTTAGGCAAGTTTTAAATTGAAAATGCCTGTTATCTAGCTTGCTAGCTCACGGTCAGCTAGTTAGCAACATTAGTCTGGCTAGATGGCTATTGTGACAAAACAAGCAAGCATAGTGTTGAGAATCATTGTACCAACTAAAACGCTGTGAAATATATTTTCTATAACCAGAAATATTGTATTTCAGCGGGAAGCATAGCAATAGCACACATAGAACAGCTTTACTGCTACTTAGACTTGCTTTCAATGATAATGACAGATCTATAACTCCCATTTCTTTGGGAATTTGGTCCGGTCGCCCCAAAGGTTATATATTGCAGCTTTAATACAGCAGTGCATTCTGACACCATGAATTGAAATTGATTTGATATAGTTGGCAAAAATTATAAGCAATTAAATAAAGACCTCCACTGGGTGAAGGAGAAGAGGATCTGGTAAAATAAGGGTATGTTGCTAATATAATCTAGATCGGTCACTAGCTAAATAGCTTCGTTGCTAAATCTAGCCTCGTATTCATGGCATATTATTTTTACATTTTAGTCATTTAGCAGACGCTCTTATCCAGAGCGACTTACAGTTAGTGAGTGCATACATTTTTCATACTGGCCCCCCGTGGGAAACGAACCCACAACCCTGGCGCCGCAAACGCCATGCTCTACCAACTGAGCTACACAGAGCCATTTTATACACTACATGACCAAAAGTATGTGGACACCTGCTCGTCAAACATCTCATTCCAAAATCATGGGCATTAATATGGAGTTGGTTCCCCCTTTGCTGCTAGAAAAGCCTCCACTCTTCTGGGAAGGGTTTCCACTAGATGTTGGAACATTGCTGCGGGGCTTGCTTCCATTCAGCCACAAGAGCATTAGTGAGGTCGGGCACTGATGTTGGGCGATTAGGCCTGGCTCGCAGTCGGTGTTCCAATTCATCCCAAAGGTGTTTGATGGGGTTGAGGTCAGGGCTCTGTGCAGGCCAGTCAAGTTCTTCCACACGGACTTCGACAAAACATTTCTGTATGGACCTCGCTTTGTGCACGGGGCATTATCATGCTGAAACAGGAAAGGGCCTTCCCCAAACAAGCACAGAATAGTCTAGAAAATCATTGTATGCTGTAGCGTTAAGATTTACCTTCATTGGAACTAAGGGGCCTAGCACGAAACATGAAAAACAGCCCCAGACCATTATTCCTCCTCCAACAAACTTTACAGTTGGCACTATGCAGTCAGCGTTCTCCTTGCATCTGCCAAACCCAGATTTGTCCATTGGACTGCCAGATGGAGAAGTGTGATTCATCACTCCAGAGAACGCGTTTCCACTGCTCCAGAGTCCAATGGCAGAACGCTTTACACCACTCCAGCCAATGCATGGCATTGCGCATGGTGATCTTAGGCTTGTGAGCGGCTGCTCGGCCATGGAAACCTATTTCATGAAGCTCCCAATGAACAGTTATTGTGCTGACGTTGCTTCCAGAGGCAGTTTGGAACTCGGTAGTGAGTGTTGCAACTGAGGACAAATTATTTTTTACATGCTTCAGCACTCGGCAGTCCCGTTCTGTAAGCTTGTGTGGCCTACCACTTCACGGCTGAGCCGTTGTTGCTCCTAGACGTTAACACTTCACAATAACAGCACTTACAGATGACCGGGGCAGCACTAGTAGGGCAGAAATTTGACGAACTGACTTGTTGGAAAGGTGGCTTCCTATGACAGTACCATGTTGAAAGTCACTGAGCTCTTCAGTAAAGCCATTCTACTGCCAATGTTTGACTACGGAGATTGCATGGCTGTGTGCTCGGTTATATATACACACACCTGTCAGCAACGGGTGTGGCTGAAATAGCCGAATCCACTAATTTGAAGGGTTGTCCACATACATTTGTATATATCGTGTATCTGACTTCTAGTAGGATAGTATTCTGTACAAGACCAAAAGCATAAGACAAATATTTAAAAATATAAAACGCAACATGTTCATTTAAGGAAATCAGTCAATTGAAAAAGATGTATTAGGCCCTAATCTATGGATTTCACGACTGTGAATACAGATATGCATCAGTTGGTCACAGATATTGTCCAACTCCTCTTCAATGGCTGTGCAAATTTGCTAGATATTGGAGGGAACTGGAAAACGCTGTCGTACACGTCACGTCCAGAGCATCCCAAACATGCTCAATGGATGGCATGTCTGGTGAGTATGCAAGCCATGGAAGAACTGGGACATTTTCAGTTTCCAGGAATTGTGTACAAATCCTTTCGACATGGGGCTGTGCACTCATGCTGAAACATGAGGCGATCACGGCGGATGAATGGCACCACAATGGGCCTCAGGATTTCGTCACGGTAACTCTGTGCATTCAAATTGACATCGATAAAATGAAGTTGTGTTCGCGGTCCATAGCTTTCGCCTGCCCATACCATAACCCCACCATGGGGCCCTCTGTTCACAACGTTGACATCAGTAAACCGCTGCCCCACACGATGCCATACGCTGTCTGTCATCTGCCTAATACAGTTGAAACAGATTAATCCGTGAAGAGCACACTTCTCCAGCGTGCCAGTGGCCATCGAAGGTGAGTATTTGCCCACTGACGTTGGTTGCGACCCTGTTGAGGACGACGTGCACACAGATGAGCTTCCCTGAGATGGTTTCTGACAGTTTTTGCAGAAATTCTTTGGTTGCACAAACCCACAGTTTCATCAGCTGTTCGGGTGGCTCATGTCAGACTATCCCGTTGGTAAAGAAGCCGGATGTGGAGGTCCTGGGCTGGTGTGGTTACACCGTGGTCTGCGGTTATTAGGCCGGTTGGACATACTGCCAAACTGGCTAAAACTATGTTGGAGGCGGCTTATGGTAGAGAAATGAACATTCAATTCTCTGGCAACAGCTCTGGTGGACATTCCTGCAGTTAGCATGCCAATTGCACGCTCCCTCAAAACTTGACATCTGTGGCATTGTGTACATTTTAGAGTGGCCTTTTATTGTCCCAAACACAAGGTGCACCTGTGTAATGATCATGCTGTTCAATCACTTTCTTGATATGCCACACCTGTCTGGTGGAAGGATTATCTTGGCAAAGGAGGAATGCTCACTAACAGGGATGTAAACAAATTTGTGGGCAAAATTAGTGAGAAATAAGCTCAAGCATGAAAAGGGGGTGAATGCCCACATGCAGGAACGCCCCGAATTGCGGGCTGGCAGTTGCACATTATTGAGTTGGAATGCAGCTATACCACGATCAGGACAGTGCAGAGCTGGCCACGATATGGCTCAGAAAATGTACCTCAGTCCAGGGATGGGAGATGGCAGTGTACTTCTAATTATCCCAACTGACAAATCTAGAAGTTTGAAAAATTCTCGTCAGCATGCTAGCCTAGCTAATGCTATAGCAGACCATTGAATTCGACAACACTTTCGAGTAACTGCTCACCAACGCTAGTCGTCGCATTTTCATGGAATCCAATGAGCTGCTATAGCATTAGCTAGCCTTGCATGTTGACGAAAAATGTGCTGTATTTCCATCTTCTCAATTTGCCAGTTGGGATAATTAAGGACTGAAGTACGTTTTCTGAGCCAGATCCACGCTGTCCTGATCTTGGCATAGTCGCGTTCTGACTAGAGAATGTTTAAGTGATAATGTCCGAGAAGCCGGTGTTTGGAGGATATATTGCCAATAAAATTTGTTTTGATATTGGCACGGGTGTTAGCAGCAAACCGTGTCAATATATCCTCCAAACACCGGCTTCGAGGGCATGATTAATTTGATACAATTTTGATTAATTGATTCGTACTATTTCATCCTTCCACAAGATACAGTCCCGACACAAATCTAGGGCTGCTACCCAAGCTGGCTGGTCATTCATTCTATCGGTTCGGTTGCCAGCGACATGACCCAGTCGTTTTGTTGCGTATCTATGGACGCGATCCAGTCGTTCGTTCTAAAATGTTCCATTGCCATACTGGCTGGCAACGTTCTTATCCCTTGCTTGCTAGCTAGCCAACTACCTTACAGTCACGTCAAAAAGTGCAGCCAGAATAATAGCAAAGTAGCAGCATTTGCATAAGCTGTTTTCTAGTGACATTTATTTGGATACATGTATAACAATGAGCTAATGATCCGCGATTTTGCCTGGCATAGAAAATGTGCTCTCTCGTCAGGACACTGTTGTTCAGAGGAGCTAGCCAACAACACCGCTAACACAATCACTGGAAAGACAGCAAACTAGCTGCATTTCGTTTCACCTGTTTTCTATTGACATTTCTTTGTAAACATCCATCAAAATGATGCCAGCTGATTCATGATTTCAACTGGCTGACTAGATGCCTGTCCATCTCGTCCCGACACGTTCATTACTATGGGACAGCTGGAGATCGAATTTCAATATTGAAACAATATTGCAAATGTCAGAGACAGAGAGCAAGGTTTAAACATATCTCTGCTGTTGAAAATCAAACGCTAGTCTAAACGAAATGGGAGATACTGTCTAGATGCTTTTTGTAGTGGAGATCAAATGTATAAATTGGCTGGCTGGGCTGATGACAGTGGATTGCGCAGTGAGATGGAACAAAGTAAATAGGCATTTCAACGTCATAGCTTTAGCTGGTGGTAACTTGTGGATTATAAAACAGTGGTTCGAGCCCTGAAAGCTGATTGGCTGACAGCCATGGTATATCAAACCGTATACCATGTGTATGACAAGACATTTCACTGCTCTAATTACATCAGTAACCAGTTTATAATAGCAATAAGGCACCTCAGGGGTTTGTGGTATATGGCCAATATACCACGCTAAGGGCTGTATCCAGGCACTCCGCATTGAGTCATACATACTAACAGCCCTTAGCCGTAGTATATTGGCCATATAGCACACCCCCTCGGGCCTTATTGCTTAATTATAGACACCGGCTGGTTTTAACCAATCAGCATCCAGGATTAGTCCCACCTGTTGAATAAAGTTAGCTAAATAACATCTAGTCAAATTATGGCTAGCTAGCTAACGTCCGTTTCTTTTACCTTTCTTTACGGCTGCTATAATCCTTGGGTTGAGCTCCAATTGTTCCCAATCCATATTTCCCACAAATACCATTTAGTCTGGGATACATTTCGCCATTCTGTGAGGCATCAGCAAGCAAAATGTGAACCGCTTGCTGGCTAACTATTGTGGCGGCAAAGAGCCTGGTGGACAGACGTGCGAAATACCCGCCCACAAATCGTCATCACAGAGCGCGTCGCACCCGGATTCGTGATGGAAGGAACTACATATAAATTTAGGGGTGTACATTAAAACACTTTTTTAAAAAGCAAAAGTAACTAACTGTAAAGTGATTACATTGGTTTTCGGTGTACATAATAATTGGGATACATAAATAAGGATACTCTGTGTACATAGTTTCAATAAATACAATGAAATACTCATCCTGAAGTTGTCATCCTTACCCTGAAAATAAACTATTTGGTTTAACTTACGCCGAGTAGGTTTTGCGAGTCAAAACACCAAAACATTAGCTACCTCGTCGAATGGGATATTATGAAATTTGCTAACAATTATCTTTTTAAAGGGCATATCGTTTTATCACGTGAACATATTTTGATAACAAGCTTTTAGCATATGCAGTCTTTTCACTATGAGAAACGAGCTAGCTAAGTATCAATAGCGTCTGAAGTGTTTCCTCCTGTCCTGGATTTCTTTGTCGCCATACAAGAACTAGCTACCGCGCTGGTATTAAACTTTGAATAACGTCAGGTAGCTAGCTAAATATAAAGATAGTACTAAGCTTATTGCTTTGAAACTTCAACGTAACCATATTTTGCCATGCATGTCTCCCCTTCTGCACTACATTACAGTAGTGGGCGTGTGATATCTAGTAGCTAGCTACACATGAAATGGGTTAGCTAGTTATAATCTTGATTTTGGTACGGTCTGCTGTGACATTCATGAACGCAAACCATGTCCCACGTTACTGTGATCTCATGACTTGCATGCGTTGTCCTCTGAACTAGTTCAGTAATAGCATGCAAAATCTTCTCTAAACTAAAGCAAAGTTCAGCAATGCAGAAATATATTGTTGGCTTGTCAATAGTGGCCTACTAGTATAATCAACACATTGCATGGGGAATGTGTAAATACGATTATGTAGCCAACGTTACACAGAAGTGACAAATGATCCTCTTTTTAATACAGGTTTATTTGGGCTGACACCGCAGACATGACTTCCCGCATATGCAAGAACTGTGGTTGTTCCGAGATCGACCTCGACCAGGCTCGGGGCAATGCAGTATGTACGAGCTGTGGGTCTGTGCTGGAGGACAACATCATCGTGTCCGAGGTGCAATTCGTGGAGGGCAGTGGTGGGATTTCGTCAGCCGTGGGGCAATTCGTCTCAGCAGATGGTAGGACCTGCATATTGCACAAGATTTCATTGTCATAAAATATATGTATATATCCTGTGATGAGGAATAGAGTGTACCACTATGCAGTACCACACAAATATCCTCTGCCCAGAGCCAAATTTAGAGATGCTAAATATTGCATAATATTTGTGAAAATGAACCATATTACATGCCAGCTTGTCTCCAATGTTATGCAGACAATGTAAGAAAAGTGTCACAAATAGAAAGACAACTGTTCAAATAAGCTTGACGGTATAATACAATTTGGAAGAATTCCTTGCAGTTAGATTAAACAAAAAGTATTTATAGTACATAATGTAATGTCTTCATAAGCACTAGGCTGCACAAATCAAAAAATAGCATTAGGCTACGACTGGTGCTTTGCTAAATATGTCATCAACCCCTTTAATATAGTATGAATAATTTGAGAAATATTAACTTCATAATGGGTTTGTGAAGAGTTTATGACACCCAAGTGTTTCCCCTCCTTGAAGTTGGAACAAAATATACTTCAGTTTTAAATTGTGTTATGGTCAAACATTACAAATATTCAACATAAATATGGGAATTTTAAATAAATGAAATGCATATGGTTTTGAAGTCTGCAACCTTGTCACTAGCCCAATATTAGACCTCTGATTAATTAATAAGACAAGGTTTAAGGGCATTCCATAGCGACTGCGTTTAAGAACTCGCGGTCCAATGACTACCTGCTAGCAGCGTGTGCCCCATGTCCATAGCTACATCCATAAGATCGGTAGACTGTTCTGATAATAAAAAAAAGTCAGTGGTTCACACCGGTCTTAGCTAATGAGTCCCACAAAACGGGCAGGTGCTGCCCCAGATGAGAAGTAAAGGAAACACGTACGTGCAAAGCTAGAACAAAACGTTGGGATCCATATTAGATTTGGGAAGGGGACAGCATCTCAAAACTGGGTTTAATAGTTATTTACATTTTAGACATTTAGCAGACGCTCTTATCCAGAGCGACTTACAGTTAGTGAGTGCATACATTTTTCATACTGGCCCCCCGTGGGAATCGAACCCACAACCCTGGCGTTGCAAACGCCATGCTCTACCAACTGAGCGACACGGGGCCTATGTTCACTGCTCGGTGATGCAAATGGCGATTCTCCAATCAGAACCGTCCACCGATTACGAATGTCACTTCGGATTCAGAACACATGCTGCTAGCAGGTAGTCATTGTACCAGAAGTTCTCAAACGCAGTCGCTATGGAATGCCCTTAGACCTTGTCTCATTAAAATCAGAGGTCTAATATTGGGCTAGTGGCAGGATTGCAGACTTTGTCTTAATGAAATAGTTAAGAGATCTAATATTGTGCTACCCTGCAACTTCGTTTGCTATACTAAGATGGCTAGGGCTGGAAAAATATAACTCAAATGCAGAGATGGCGCTATAGTTTAACCATATTTTGAAGCTATACATTGTTTAAGACATTGTTTACAATGGTGTAAAACAACCCTATATTTTGGGTTATGAGCCAGTTTAATTAAGTGCATGAGGCATTTAAAAGTGACATTGAATCAAGGGGGCGTAAATGATTTTAATTTAAAATGGCTGTATATACGGCTGTAAGTTCACAGTGGGCCTTTAAACATAACAGTCTTGTCCAGAAATTCATTATACATTTCATTGACATGTTATTTCCACTAGGGTCTTCATCTTAGTTATCAACTTATTTCTATTCACTTTTTGTATGATGCTTAATTTACACTGAATATTAAGAATTAGCTCACATGACTTTTTAAAGATTAATATAGTAAAGATTAGTCCTAGAACCATGCAATATGTAGCCTAGAAACCCAGTCTGTGGGCTACATTTAGCTTACGTTCCAATCGAAAAATCATTGCGCTCGAATAGACAAGGTTAAATTTAAGAATGTTAGACTAAAATGCTCCAACAGAGCAAAATCTGAAATGGAATTGTATTGCAATAGAATATCTTGATAGGCATGGAAGATTCCCCAGTTAGCAACATTATCCTAGAGGAAAAATTGACAAGTTAATTTTGAGTAATGTTCCAAGGTGCTCAGCTCACCTTGGCTTTTTAACTTCATTGGCCACGCTTACCTGTGGGTGGAATACAAATTAAATGTTACAAAAGGTTCCACATTTTATATTATCCAGAAATTATGGCTACACAAGCACATTTTCAAAGCAAACTACTTGTGAAAATAAGATAAGCAATCTGCTTTGATCACTGCTATAGTCTAGTGCTTCATTATGATAATTATAGGACAGATTGCTTACCTCTCAAGATGCCTTCATGCACGCTACCACCGTAGCGGCCTGGGCCACTGCTCCTGGGGTTTAGAGGGTTATTTGAACTTGGCCCAGAGTTTTCATGTGATCCATCAGCATCAATATGGTTACCACTGATGACTTTGAGCAGGTTTGGATCTTGTCCTTTTTCTGTAGAGATGTAGTTCAAGTTGTTGGGATTATTCTCAGCTCCACCTTGGGTGCCTTTGAGTCTAGACAAGTACCCATGGTGATCTGAAAGAGTTTGTCCACTACCAAGACGGTTTGCACCATACTGACTATGTGGATGAAGGGTGCTAGGAGTGTTGGGGTTTCTGTCTCGTTGGATATTGCCTGTTTGTACAACCCCATATCTTGGTGATTGAACACTGGTTATTGATAAAGGTTTCTTAGCACTACCTTGAACAGCTCTATAGAAGCTTAAAGGTGACCCATGTTGACTACGATCAGGTTGGCCATTGCTGCCCTGGGCATTTTCATAGGCACTATTAGCCGATTGGACATCGCCGTAAGCATTCTTGCTATTACCATCTTGGTATTTACTGTAATGGCTGGAAGCTGGTTTTACTTGGCTGGGTGACAGCTGGGCACTGGCAAGCTGTGCAGACCCAAGGTGGCCTAGTGCAGTTTTACCTCTGTTTAATGCTTGACTATGACCACCATGCTGCACAGGCTGATGGAGGTTAGAAGTGGTTCCATGAATGGGGTCAGGTTGGCCATTTATGTTCCCACCCTGAGATGTTGGTTGGAAATGGCTGGGGGAATAACGGACAATGTTGCTCGGGGCAAAGTTCTGTTGCGTTTCCACTGATTGGGCACTACCACTTTGGGCTGACCCTTGGTTGAACAAACGATCAATAGGACTGACACGGCTGGGATTGTCTTGGGCACCAGTGTCTTGAGAAACAATAAGCTGGCCTCCACGGCTATCTTTTATAAAGTTTGAATTTCCTCCAGAGTTGCCCAGGGAACATTCCTCACAAGGGTCTGATCCATCAGAATCAACATGGCTACCACTTATGACTGCAAGCGGATTTCGCTCTTGTCCTTGTGCTGCAGACTGAACAGTAGCCTGTTGGATGCTGTGGTGTTGAGGGTTAGTATACTTGTCAGTGGCAGATTCATTTCTACCACTTTGTGAACCTTGATGTTTGTTTGGAGCAGGTTTGACACCGATCTTTTGAACAGCACCATACTGGCTAGAAGATTGCTGGCTGAGGTTACCTTGAGAAGGAGCATACCTGCTGGTTGTAGGTTTAACACTGATGTTTATTGGACCCCTGTCCTGGTTTGTAGCTGGTTGGATGATCTGTTGAAAAAAGTTAGCCCTTGTTGGAATAAGGTCAACACTGCTGCTTTGTGAGCCCTCATACTGGCTGGGCACTGGTTGATATCCACGTAGGGAAGCTATTTCATCACTGCTTTGGTGACCACCAGTAGTTGGTTTAACATATTGAACAGTAGACTGGATTGGAATAGGTTCAACTCTGTCACTTTGTGCACCATATTGGCTAGGCACTGGTTGCAAAGTGTTCGGAGCAGGATTAGCACTGCGGTTTTGAGCGGCATCATGGCCAGTAGTTTGTTCGCTGTTGTGATGTTGAGTGGTATTATACTTTCCTGTGGCAGGTTCATCTGTACCATCTCTAGGTTTGAAGCCTAAGTATTGAGAAGCACCATACTTGCTAGGAGCTGAGGTTACTCTGTGGCTTTGTGAACCTCCATACTGGCTTGTAGCTTGTTGGTCAATGTTTAGGTGAGAAGAAGCATACTGACTGGGAGAGGGTTCCCTTACGCCACTAGTGGCAGGTTGGATACTGATCTGTTGAGGTGGTGCTGGCTCAACTCTGTAGCTTTGTGAACCTCCATACTGGCCAGTAGCTTGTTGGTTGATATTACTTTGAGTAGGAGCAGACTTGTTGGGAGTAGGTTTAACGCTGACATTTTGTGGACCCCTGTCCTGGTTAGAAGTACGATGTATGATGTTCTGTTGAAAAAGACTAGTCCCAATAGGGGCTTGGTCAACTCTGCTGCTTTGAGAACCTTCATACTGGCTAGGCACTGATTGAGATGTGCTTGGGGCAGGTTTAGCACTACTGCTTTGAGAAACATCCTGGCCAGGAGCATGTTGGATGCTGTGGTGTTGAAGGGTTACATACTCGCTAGTAGCAGGTTCAACTCTATCACTTTGTGAACCTTGATGTTTGCTAAGGGCAGGTTTGATTGCAGTGTGTTGAGTAGCACCATACCGGCTAGTAGTGGGTTGGACGTTATGTGGTTGAGAGGCAGCATGCAGGCTAGTAGCTAGTTTCTGCAAAGTTCCACTGTACTGACCAGGTGTAACAATCCTGGTTTGCATTCCCACATACTGGTTAGAAGCTGGTTGGACATGATTGCTTTTGGAAGCATCATACTTGCTAGCCACAGGGACATACTTTTTGTCCTGGCTGGTTCCATAGAAGCTAGAGGCTGCACTACTATCAAGTTCGCTGCTTTGGCATGTACCATAGTGAACAGGTTTTGCATTACTTGGGTGAAGTTGAGTGATACTTCCCATTTGTGCAGGCTGATGGCGATGAGGGGTAGACTGGACATTGTCTAAAGATTGGTAGACTGTGCCCTGTGCTGTGTTGTAATAGTCTGTGTTAGGTTTTGCGCCACTGTGGACAATTTCAGTCCTGCCAACTGAGGCTCCATAATGGCCAGAAGCAGGCTTGGCATATTGTCCCTTGCTAGGTCCATATTCATTTACAGAAAGTTGGCTAGGTACAAGGATCTTAATTGGTGCCCATTGGGCTTTGGTGGGCTTCACTTCTCCTAAGGTGGTTTCATCATGGCCGAGACCATCATGACCAGGAACTTGAGATAAACCACTTTGGTTATCCCCATACATGCTGTATTCAGGGACTTTGCTGGTGGTAGGTTGACAATCTACACCTTGGACAGCAAAGTGGTCTTTGGAAGCAGGTTTCACATAACTTGAGGTACCCTGGGCATGGTCACCTAGTGGGACCTTGTGACTGGGGACTTGCTGGAAGCTGTTAGTTACTTGAGAAGAACCATACACATTATCAGGAAGGACTTGTTTCACACCAAAATGCTGGGCATATGTGTTGTAGTTGGAACCAGGTTGTAATTTAGTATTCGGGTTAACATAGGAAGCAGGGAAAGGGTTTACTTTGCTTGGAGTGTCATAGTGTCTTGGGGTCTTGACAATGTCAGGAGTATATTGTTCACTGGCTGGCTTGACATATTGCTGGGGGGTAGATATGCCATCAGACCTTTGCAAAACACCATATTGGCTATAGCGTCTTAAGCCAGAGAGGACATTACCTCCAGAATACTGCGGTGTGCTGCTACTTTGTGCAGTATAGTCACTTAAAGTGGCCTTATTGTTCACCGTTTGGACAGTTGCATGATGGCTTGGGGCTGGTTTGCTCAACTTCGCAGATTGTACAGTATTGTACATCTCCTGTTGGGCAGAATTGCTTGGTCTCTTACTCCCATCATTGTAGTTTGGGTGAGGTCTCAAATGTTCCTGTGCATTTTGAAAGCTGCCACCAGGAGTACTGTTTAAGTGGCTGGGAACTGGATTGACAACACTAGGAGGTTGGACATTGATAGTCTTTGCAGATGTAGGCCTATAGTGGCCTGGGATATCTTTGATCCCTCCAACCTGGACAGGGCTGTGGATGGGGAATTGCCCATATCCACTGAGCCTGCTGCCTCCATCAGTTTCAGGCCTGATTCCCATACCCTTTCGATGTGGAGTATTACCATCCTGGGTGGATCCATAAACGTTAAGGGCTGGGGTGTCATTATCACTTAAGTTGTGTTGGCCAGTACCATAAGCACTTCCACCTTGCACAAGTCCATAGCGATTCAGAACACTTTGTACATTGCTGGATGATTGTGGGGCACCACTGCCTTGGAGTGTAATGGAATGGCTGAGAGAAGGATCCAGGGTGTTGTCAGCAGTTGAAGAGCCATAGTTGGTACTATAATGCCCCCCTGTCTGTGACACCTCATGATTGCTTGGAGAAGGTTGTGTGCTGATAACCTGGACACTGTCAGTGTTGGTGGGAACTTGCTGGGGACAGCCAGGCACTGGTTTATTAGTTGCGCCATCTAAACAGAAAAGCATTTATTTTTAATTTCTCTCAAAAACATACTACATGTAGTTGTGTAAACCAATCTTACCTTTGGTGCTCCCTGTGAATTTGATTGAGCCAAACCCAGGCATTTCAGATTCGAAAATCATGTCCACAAATAGCCTACTGACTGAGTGGAGTGGGTAGAAGCATTGCACTGTGAGTCTGTAAAGAAGGAAAAGTAATTAGAGATGTGCCATATGCAATCACAGTTAATCCACATTTCTTGATCAGATTTATAATAATATGCCATTTAGCGGACGCTTTTATCCAAAGCGACTTACAGTCATGTGCGCATACATTTTAACGTTTATTAATGACATTTGGGACTACATGAATTTGACATGATCTGATTATTCACACCTAGGTCACCTACTGTATTCTTAAGTAGCTTATTGCACAAATAATCAAGTTACCATCTTCAGATCAGGGCATTGTATAATGAAAGTGACAGCATTGAAATGCTAAGATCGATCATGTTCCCAAATAACTATGACTGATCTTTACCTGAATTTAGAATCCCTGGAGATGAAAGAATTGCTGTCAGGTATGAGCTCCCTATAAGACAGGATCTCGTTTTCATACACTACAAAAGAGTCTTCAACCTATAAGACAAGTGGAAACTGCTGTTACTTTATAATGAGTAGCTCAAGTCAGTCAAAAGCTCATAACTGAATTTTCCCGCCATCAAGCCTATAGCATTATCATACAGCGTTTATTGTTCTATGGGATTGTCATTTAGGCCTAGATAATGTTAAAATCGAAACACCTCTCCCCTCCTAATAAATTGTTTAAATCAATTAGGCTGACCTTTCAAATTCTGCTAAAAAGACTGAATTCACTATAACTAACAAAATTCCACAGGCTCCAAGCTTATATTCTAAATGAGATCATACCGTAACCGTGGTCCCGCACGTGTTCAAGCCAAACTCAAACAGAACTCTTGAGTCGTCCGATAATTTTGGTTTACAGGTTCTGTCCAAGAGGGTAGTACTGGCTGGAGTCACTGCAGGCCAGGTAGTTTTTGTACTGGTCACCACAGTCATGGTCCCGTCAGTTGAACAGACTGGAAAGACAAAAGGTCCATTGAAGAAGACAATACAAAAACAAAGCATGCGTGTTACGGATGGATACTCACTTATAAGCTGATCACGTCTGAAAAGACAGCGCGTTGCTGTTGCTGTCTGGATCTCCAAAGTCTTTGAATCTCTTGAGAGTACTTCAAATGTGCCATAAAAATGCCTCAAGTTGATATCCTGAAATGCAAATAAAAAAGTTTTGGCCCAAAGCAGTGAAGTAGGCCTATAAGCAGCTATTAAAGTGAGGGCAATGTCCTGCCAAATTTGGTTGATAGTCATGCCTTAGATCAGTGGTTCCCAAACTTTGGGGGGAGATTAACAAATGCCATTTAAAAATTAATTAAACTAGTCATTTTACCTTAAGCCTCTAGGGGGCGGCATAGTTTCAAAGCCGATGTAGTGGGCCGAGTCAATATTTTAACTTGTCGACCACCTTCCCAAATTGGCGCAAATGTTCTAACTACACTGAACACAAATATAAAAATGCAACATGTAAAGTGTTGGTCCCATGTTTCATGAGCTGAAATAAAAGATCCCAGAAATGTTCCATACACACAAAAAGCTTCTCTCAAATTCATTTACATCCCTGTTAATGAGCATTTCTCCTTTGCCAAGATAATCCATCCACATGACAGGTGTGGCATATAAAGAAGCTGATTAAACAGCATGATCGTTACACATGTGCCCCTTGTGCTGGGGACAATAAAAGGCCACTAAAGTGTGCAGTTGTCTCACAACAATGGCACAGATGTCTCAAGTAGAGGGAGCGTGCAATTGGCATGCTGACTGCAGGAATGTCTGCCAGAGCTGTTGCCAGATAATTTAATGTTAATTTTACTACCATAAGCCGCCTCCGTCGTTTTAGAGATTTTGGCAGTACGTTCAACCGGCCTCACAACCGCAGACCACATGTATGGTGTCGTGTGGGCGAGCGGTTTGCTGATGTCAACGTTGAGAACAGAGTGCCCCATGGTGGCGGTGGGGTTATGGTATGGGCAGGCATAAGCTATGGACAACGAACACAATTGCATTTTATTGATGGCAATTTGAATGCACAGAAGTACCATGATGCGATCCTGAGGCCCATTTTTTTAAAAAGGTATCTGTGACCAGATTAATATCTGTATACCCAGTCATGTGAAATCCATAGATTAGGGCCTAATTAATTTATTTCAATTGACTGATTTCCTCATATGAATTGTAACTCAGTAAAATCTTTGAAATTGTTGCACAGTTTCATTTTGTTCAGTATAGCTACTGTTCTCAGAGTCTGACACAGTTTAGCAAAATATGGACCGGTGGCTGATTGAAAAATAAAAGACAATCCAACCATTAATGAGGGTGAATCTACAACTGATTAACCGCCATCTGATAATGACACTGACCCTAGGCCGAGCGAGGCCGGTGGGAGCTGAGCCTAGGCCGAGCGAGATGCCGGCGGGAGAGACCCTAGTGCCAGTGGGAAAGACACTCAAGGATAAGCTGGCACTCTCGAATTCAGCAAAGAGATAAAGGTGATTACATTCAGTATGGTTTCATGTCTCATGGTCAATGGGGATCCACATCCACAATGCGTTGCGTGTTTAATGTGCTAGAAAATGAGTTTGAAGCCAGTGAAACTGAAGACATTTACAGAACACTGATAAACCGGTGGATTTTGTCTATCGCAAAGAGCAAGATATGCGTGGCCAAAAGCAGGTATTGACCACAAACTACAACCAAAGCCCAAGCTGCTTGCTATGAAAGTGTCATGATATTGCAAAATCTAAAAAGCCACATACTAATGAGACAATCTCCTCGCAGCAATAGGCATGGTGAGAAAATAGCGAGTCAGCTCAAACAAATCCCGCTGTCTGATAACACCGTTGCCCAGCGGATATATATATTATGGCAAAAGACAAAGCGTCAGCTTATTGATCAAAAAAAAAAAAAAAGCATGACATTTGCTCTACAACTAGATGAGTCAATTGATGTCACATGCAGCTCAGCTTCTCGTATTAGTCAGATACTGCTATGAGGGGAAACTACATGAAGCGCTGTTATTTTGCAGTGCGCTTGAGGGGCCATTCAACAAACTTGATGAAAAGATGCGGGACGAGGGGCTGTGTTGGGAGAATTGTGTGGGTGTGTGTACAGATGGGGCTGGTACTATGATGGGTAAACATAAGGGTCTGAATGCAAAGGTACACGCCGTTGTGCCAAACATAGTATTCCCTCATTGTGTTATACACAGGGAAGCTCTTTCTTCCAAGGCCCTTGAAAATGAGCTTAGTAGCATGCTTCAAACAGCAATAAAAATGGTGAACTTCATAAAGGCACGCCCCATGTATACCAGACATATGCTGTCCTGTGCAAAGAAATGGGATCTGAGCACGAATCGCTACTGTTGCATACTGAGGTCAGGTGGTTGTTGTGAGGTAAAGTGCTGCTGCGTCTACTTGAAATGAGAGATGAAGTGTGCCTATTCATACTGGATACAGAGTCGCCCAATGCAGAATGCCGGTGATCCTAAATGGCTGGCAAACCTGGCAGACATTTTTGATAGACTGAATGGACTTAAGATGTCACTGCAAGGCCCCAATACCAACATTATGTCATTGGCCAACAAAGTTGGGGGGTTTGTAAAGAAGCTGGAGCGCTTGGCATGGGGTGGGGGGAGTGTGGAGATGTTCACTGGTCTCAGATTGAGGAGAATGAACTGCACCTGGATGACGCAACAAAAAGCAAGGATCACTCATCAACTCCGAGGACTTATTGGACATTTCAGGAGTACTTTCAAGAGGAGACACGAAAACCACGACTGGAGCCAATAACCGTTCATTGCCACCACCGCTGGCAGCTATCTGTCATCGGAGCTACAGTAGTCATTCCTGGAACTATCCAGTGACAGGACCTTGCGTGCAGCCTTTGCCACAACCCCGCTGGTTGAATTTTGGCTGTCAATCGCAGGAAAATAACAGGGATTATCTGAAATGTCATTGGATAAACTGATTGCTTTTGCGTCGACCCATCGGTGAAACTACTTTTTCCACACTTACATATATTAAAACAAATGGTTATGACTCACACGAGTGGAAGATGAACTACTTTTAAAATCGGTGTCAAGCATAAAGCCCAGAATACAAAATGCTGTGTTCCCAGCATCAGGCTCAATCTCATTAATTCGAGTGAGTATAGATTGATTAAGAACAGGTTTATGTCTAGAGAGATTCTGGTAATTACCCATGTTTATGGCCAAATAAAATTCAAACAAATATGTCTGTATGGATTTGAGAATAGGTGTACAGAGATTCTGGTAATTACCCATGTGAATGACCAAATAAAAGTATGAAGTGAAATGCAAACAAATATATCTGTGTATACATCATTGTACAGCGATTTCAAATATATAAATGGACATTTAAATATGAACACGTGAGTGCGTCGGGGGACACAAGCTGTGACCCAAATGGATAAGGGGGGCGTGAGCCAAAAAGTTTGGGAACCGCTGCCTTAGATCAGCGTCTCAATCCATTCTTTAGGGAGCCCAAAGGGGGTGCACATTTTTGTTCTAGACCACCATCAACACAGATACAGCTAATTACAGGCTTGGCAAATACCTGAATCAGTTGTGTTTTAGTGCTGGGCTAGACCAAAAATGTGTGCCGCTTGGGGGTCCCCCCAGGAATGCATTGAGAAACAGCGCTTTAGAATTGACAACATACTGTACCTCATAAGTGTAGCCAACAGTGAACAGTGGCACCTCCAAGGTCAAACTATGGCTTTCGTTTCGCAGGTTGTACCCTCTTTCAGCCACCAGCTCCGGTGTTAGAGGGTCATGCCCGACCCCGATCTCCCACAGGTATCCCAGTCTTGGCTGGTTCATGTCAAAGACAATTCCTCTTCCTGTGCAAACCCCTTTCAGCTCAGGAGGGACTGAGGGGGAAAATGCAGATTTTTTAAAAGCAAGTTACTTTGAAGACCTTGTTAAAGTAAAATGTTATGCTTGAAGTAAAATATAAAGACTTACATGCGTCGCTGAGCTGTTCCACAACAGAGGCTAGATGGTAGTAAGCCTCTTCCTGGGGCATGATGCTTAACGTGTAGTTTATGTCCATGGAGTACTGGAGGAGCCCCTCACCTAAGTACTATTGAGAAAAAAATAAATTTTTTGAAATCTCATTATTTCAAAAGTTGGAATTCATGACTATAAGCTCAATTTATGGAAATGTGTTTGATCTAAAATGTACTCACTGTCCTATAAACAGCCTTGTCGTCAAAAGGAACCCTGAGAGTATAGGCATGAGTGCCATTGGCATGGGCGACCTTACTGATGGTGTAACCATGTTCTGCAGCGTCAGATACAGAGAACTGCTTTTCATTCAACTTCACTTCAATCAGAGCCACGTCGTGAGGAATGTTCCCCAAGTACACGTTGAACGCATGTTCTTCAACGCTGGTCTCTGGAGGAGTAATGGGAGGAAATAGTTAAGTAGCCAAGTAACCAGGATTAACAAGAACTCAGCAATGCCACAAAGCACATTGGAAATGACACCTCAGTCATTGTAACTATATGTTTATGTGCGAAAAGGATGAACATACTGTGGTATGGAGAAAGGGCATCGACATCAACAGTGAAGGGGTGCCGGCACAGCAATGGAGTGTCCACTACCCTGAGCAGCCGGTGTCTCGTTTCAACAGTGCTACCATCAGTGTAGACATGAGAGAACACATGCTCATAGAACAGGAAAGCCACGTACATCTCCCGGTAGATATTGTTTGTCACCAAACTCTAAAAATACACAATTTACTGTGTTAACTTACACTTCAAGCTGTCGTGAATGAGCAACGATCTAGTTAAATAATTCATTTAAAAAACGCACACTAGGTAAACGTTATCCTATGAATATATTATACTGAACAAAAATATAAAAACGCAACATGTAAAGTGTTGGTCCCATGTTTCATGAGCGGAAATAAAGAGATCCTAGAAATGTTCCATATGCACAAAGCTTATTTCTCGTTTGTGTACACATTTGTTTACATCCCTGTTAGTGAGCATTTCTCCTTTGCCAAGATAATCCATCCACCTGACAGGTGTGGCATATCAAGAAGCTGATTAAACAGCATGATCATTACATAGGTGCACCTTGTGCTGATACAATAAAAGGCCACTCGTGCAGTTGTCACACAACGCCACAGATGTGTACATTTTGAGGGAGCGTGCAATTGGCATGCTGACTGCAGCAATGTCCACCAGAGCTGTTCCCAGAGAATGTAATGTTAATTTCTTCACCATAAACCGCCTCCAACGTCATTTTAAAGAATTTAGCAGTATGTCCAACCAGCCTCACAACTGCAGACCACGCGTAACCACGCCAGCCCAGGACCTCCACATCCGGCTTCTTCACATGCAGGATCATCAGAGACCAGCCACCCTGACAGCTGATGGAGTATTTGTCTGTAATAAAGCCCTTTTGTGGGGAAAATCTCATTCTGATTGGCTGGGCCTGGCTCCCCAGTGGGTGGGCCTATGCCCTCCCAGGTCAGCAGCCCTGCCCAGTCATGTGAAATCCATAGATTAGCGCCTAATGAATGCGTTTCAATTTACGGATTGTAACTCCGTAAAAGTCATTGAAATTGTTGCATTTATTTTTGTTCACTATAGATCAGGTCTCCCAACTCCAGTCCCAGAGAGCTACTTGGTGTAGGCTTGTTTCAGCCAAGCACAAAAATACTTGCTCAATTGTGGTCCAGATGAAAGATTAGGCCTAGTTGATTTATTTAAAGGCCCAGTGCAGACAAACTAGATTTTCCTGTGTTTTATATGAAATATAACAATTATAATGCCCTTTAGTGCAAGAGCTGTTTGATAAGTTTCAGCTTGTTTTGGTGGGATGAATTTTTGCCTTCCATGGTGACGTCACCATGCGGTAAATTACTTAGACCAATAACAATTTTTTCCAAACCTCTGCCAATAATAGCCAATTTTCAGATTTCCCCTCCCCACTCAGACCACTCCCACACAGTACTAGCAAAATGATTTCTTGAAAGATTGCCCTTTGCTAAGAAGCCATTTGTTTCTTTAAATCACAAAAATGTACTTAAATTGTTACCAAGAAATTGTTTGATATTGCGATAAAAACATCAGCAATGGACCTTTAAACAGGCATTAGCCTAGTGCTGGGCTGGAGAAAAAAAAGCCTTCACACCCAGTAGCTCGCTGGGGCCGCAGTTTGAAAACACTGCACCAATTGAATCTAGCCTGGTCCCAGATCAGTTTGTGCTTTTGCCTACTCCATTGTCAAGCTATGTTTGGCATGGCAACTCCTTATGGAATTGTCAAGAAAGCAGACTGTCACCCAGGCTAAGCTGAACCCAGATCGAGCTAAAGTCCACAGTGGCCTTTACCTTCCTATATCCTCCTTTGGCACCAAAGGGGATACCCATCTGTACCATGAGCCCGTTGACTTCTAGAGTGTAGCCCCTGGCCCTCGCCGTGCCCTCATCCAGCAGTTGGCTCTCCACACCCACGTTGATCTGCTTGCTCTCAAAGCCAACGCCGCTGTGAACCAAGGGGGTCATGATCCTGGGGGTGTCCCAGAGTAGCCTGGCCCCGTCAAAGTATCCTGGGTCTGAGAGCGAGAAAGCAATACAAAAGCCTTTAGAATGGTAGACACAGAGACGGATTTAGAGTTTCATTATCAGGTAGAACGGAACCAGTAGTAGGCCTAGTCCGGACCTCCAGGCTCAGATTTTAATAACCCTGGTTAACAGTGTAGGGATGAGCACAAGTACTCGATTGAAGGTTTGTACATGATCACTGAATGAGTACTCTATTTTCAAATGCCACTACGTGCTCACAGTAGGTAGATTACTTTAAACATGCAAGTACTCGAGTAGGCTAATTGAAATAGTTCAGAGATTACAACATAATTTCTTTCAAATGCCCATACCTTCTGCCTTTCAAGAAGCAGTGGATGATTGATTGTATTTACAGCAGCTATGTTTCCATCCAATTGGCAACAGATTTTCATACGAATATTCTAAAATCTGCATAAAACAATATGCCCATTTCTCCAGAGATTTTTCCAGCAAATTGATTTGTTGCAGATGTAAGGCTGTGCGTGATGACATAGTTCATATAAAAATACCCTTTGCAGTTAAATCCCCATGTACTGAATAAAAAAACAAGTTAAATGGGTTTCCATTGCATTTTCAACTAATGGTTCTCAAAAGAAAAATGTGTTATAAAGAGAGCATGCCCACTCTGGTATTGGCACGTTCGCTCTAGCCAAAGCGCGCAGATGCTGCTGTTGGCTAGAGCACACGTATAGCCTACATGAATACTATTAATATCATAATCAAAAGAGCGACTAATTATTTGTCAAACGGAAGCCAAGCGTCAATTATCATGTCACCAGAATAAGACCCTCGATATTTATTGGAAAGGAGCGTCAAGCTCACCACCTTATACTTTCAACACCCTGTGAAGTTCATTTATTTCATAAGTAGCCTAATAAACTGTGTGCTTACCCGATGAGTTGTAGTGGGAGGACCACACAACATGCCATCACCTGACACGTTTTCAATATGGTTATTCTATCAATATTTGTGCCTAAAAGAGTTTGACATTTCTCACATAATTCATTCCGACAAAAAGATCCCGCCTTGTCTAGCGTATTTTGTTTTGTCAACATATGGAAAGTTCAACGAAAAATGTTCAGTTTCCATCAGGCCTGTCATTACATTTTTTTACCCTAGATGTACTTTACTTGCATTATATAAAAAGGTTGTCTGGAAACCTGGTTGTTGATGCACAATTCATGGCTTATCTAAAGAATTCAGAAATTATTAATCTACAGTTGTCTTGAATTATTACTTGCATCATCTTTGAATATAAACATTTGCATGGCGTTATCAAAAGTCTGCTGCAGCTAATGGCATTCTTAAAGACCATTCTTTAGCGATATAGGGGAGTAGAAATTAATGTACTTATGGTGCAGGCCACAGATATGTCAATCATGACCACCATCATTTTCTGACGGAAGAACACTGTCCCATGAATGACCTCCACCGCAACACCGGCAACCTGAGAGGAGAAAGACAATGTGGTTGGGAAAAGGTCCTGCCAGTTTTAGGCCTTAAAATGACTTCTATTTTAGTAGTTCAACGTTTCTTGCTTTTCCTCATCTTTCCTTCATCTGCACTGATTGGGAATAATACACTGCTATAAGAGCAAGCATCTCGAGGGCTTCCACCATATATTTTTCAGATCAGCGCAGACGAAGGAAAGGACATGAGAAGAGGAAGCCGTGTCAGAGTACTGAAACGCATAGCATTTCTTGAAATACCCACCATTACGATTTCCGAATGGTTTTGTCTGTAGGGACAGCGGAAAACAACCCTTTTCGGAGTGGCACTCAGCTCGTAACCCAGTTGATGGGCTTCGGCGACAGGCATGGCGGCCATTTTTTCCTCATTCTTCAGGAACATTATCTGCCATGCAGAATTTGCCATCTTTTGGGCCTAAGAGGATTCAGTATTGAGTCAACATCAAGCTTGAACACGTTTCAATGCACAGATTATACTTTTAAAAAAACATGTTGAATGCTTCTAAAGGATGTGGCTTACAACAGAATGGGCTGCCCTCCATGCTTCCTTTGAGGTTCCTTCAGAGGTAGTACAAGGAACATCTCTCCCCACAGTTACCTAAGGGACATAGGACCATATGTCAATAATCTTGGGTGGCACATAGGAGGGGTCATCTAACTTTGTGTAGAAGAAAATAATTTGATGGATTTCTGGTGCTGGAGGCCCACTATATGCCAGCCGTAGTTCTAATCAAGCAATTAGTTTGAATCTTAAACGCTTAATTAATGGTCAAAAATCAACTTACTAATTTGAGTGGGTATTTATCAGAGTTCATCTGGCAAAGCAATTTGCGTTTCTGTTCAGTTGGTGTGAAACCCAGTATGCACACTGGGCCAGGCCCCCAGGACCAGGATCAGAAAAGGCCGCTTTACTGTACCTCCATGTAGTCCTCTTCACATATAACCTCCCGTTGGGACCAGGGCAGTGGCAGGGAGCAGGTCTGATACAAAGGGTAGCGCGACTGTTGGTCCTTGGCATCCGTGACAATGACATTGAACTGGAAGGTGAATACCTCATCATTCTGAAACGACAAATAGTTATTTGTTATCAGGTTTGATCAGCTCAGCAAGATGATACAAACAGGGTCCTCAGTTTGCACCTTTTTGTTCCATTCCTTAAACCAACACACCCGATTCACCACCACATTAAAAAAAAAAATCAAACCACCCTTGATTAGTTGAATGAGGTTTATTGAGTCAGTTGAATCAAGTTGGGCTAAGACTTTAGAACTCTCCTGCCCTAGAGTGAGACATAGGGTATGTCCCAATTCTCTCTCCTTTTTCCCCAAAGTGTGCACTTATGGTGGAAACTCCCACTAGCCCATGCCTCCACCAATCCAATGCTTTTAGATTTGCAGGAAGTAGTGAATAAGTGCACACTTCAGGAGGAACGAGATATTGGGATGCACCCATAGGCTACCTGGTTGTCAGTGTGACAGGAGAAGTAGGAAGCCCTGAGAGTGGTGTAGCCATCCATCTTGAAGGTGCTGATGGTGTAACCACACCGGGAAGCAGTCTTTTCATCTATGGGATGCACACCAGCCACACCTGCAGAGTAGAGGACATTACATTTCACTCTGCGCATCAATTACGTTAAACAAATGGCACATATACTCCTACATCAGACTATAGGATACTTATAGCCTACTATATCCTACTACTATCCCACTCATAGTTCACTAATGTTAATATTGAGGACCCACTATCTAGGACTGAGGGCACCAAATCTTTCAATCATAAACAGTTGAAATCAACTTGAGCCATACTTTAAGCAAGGTCTAAAGTAATACAACTACAATACTAAAACCTTATGTCATCACCCCACCTACAGCCTCAAACTGAGGCGCGTTGCCAGACGAACCAACATGCACCCATAGGTATCGATCACGACATTCTGACTGTACGGCCACTCCTACACAAGAGAATACAGGTTAGGGTAAAATGAATAAATACCTGTGATATTGAGTCGGTTTTGTGAATGAACAGAGATTTATCTCTGCTTACATTGATAGTCCCCTGCAGTGGCTCACATGCCTGACGACTATTGTTTTTAGTACAATATTTGTGCTTGGGTACATTAACTTGATAAGACTCATGCAGACCATGATCAATGAAAAGAACTCAGCATACCTTCTGGAATACTGTAACCGTCGGGACTTCCAAGAACCCCCAAATAAAGGAATGATAGTCTGGGAGAAAGTTACATTAATGCCTGCCATTTCTCACTGGTAAAATCATGGAGAACCACAACACATCAAAATTGTTTTGCATTTTTCCAAATGATTTCCAACTCAGAATTTAAGAAAATCAAACTTACCCAATACTTACGCCAAGACTTGCAGCCATCATTTGGCTATACAAATCCCCAGCTTGACTAAACAATACTAGTACTAGTCAGATAGTAGCAGAAAATAAAGACAGCAAAACTAGTTGCTTTGAAACTCCCTTGCTACTAACCAAAGGGCCAAACAATTTTAATTCAGTCACAGGTAGACTAATCACCACCGGAAGGAGGCGGAATGGAACCCAGGTGTGACTGATTGAACTTGATTGCTTTGTAAACTTTTGATGACTTCTATTGGCACCGTTGTCCTACGAAAGGAGTGAGGCTTATTTGGGTATGCATAGCCAACTGCACAAAATGTTATATTTGGTGGTTGAATATGAAATTGATTTAGCCTAGCACTACACAGCTGATTCAAATAATCAAAGCTTGATGATGAGTTCATTATTTGAATCAGCTGTGTAGTGCTAGGGCAACAACCAAAACGTGCACCCCTTGGGGTCCCAGGACCGAGTTTGGGAAACGCTTGCCTAGTAGAAGCAAAATGGAGGAGTTTTCCGCCTTTAGTGGTTGGGTTTGTAATCACTGTAAATAGCCAGCAGAGGGAGGTAAATTGTCATAAGCCTGCATTTTATCTAGTCTCTTGCTGAGCTGTGCTGTCTAGCTATCCCAAACCACCAGATGGCAATGTTAATTGGTTTTACACCCTGAGATTTAGAACACAAACACAAACTTCTTCTGTAAATTAACATTGTTTTGCATATGCTGATTAAAAATAAACTCATTCAAAATAGACTAAATGTTTGGTAAAAGATATGGTCTCTCTTCAAATATGCTGAGTGGTTAGTGTAGTTATAATTTGCAATAATGACCTTTTAATTTGACAGAACATTTTTGTCAGCTCTTTTGTGGGTTTGACATCAGAAAGCGAATGGCTGCAGTGGCATTAGCCAGGTAGGTGCTTCCACACATTGGTAGTGGATGATGGTAGTTCTCCCCAATACAATGAAAAGTGCTTTGAGTACCTGAAAAAAATGTAAATAAACCCAAATCTATTATTGTGATTGTTATTATTTTATTTTGTATTATTAGTATTATTATAAATGATTAATATATTAATATCCTTCCAGGTCCAGTGAAAGCCCCAGTCCTGGGTACTGGGTTCCACACCAGCCTTGGAAAGGAGTCCCGTGCTCAGACGCTGCAGAACGGTGAGTCCTTAACTAAACCCACCATGCCCTCTCTCCTCAAAACATCTGGGGCTTGATCAGCATGTTGGAGATAGAAGTTCAACACATAGAGTGGACATTATTCTTTATTCCAACTAATATACATTCTTGGGTGAATCCTGCCACTTAAGACCTATTTTCACTTAATGCATTGATGCCAATGGGAGATTAAGTGAAAATGTGACTTAAATGGAATTTGGGATTCACACCTGTATGCATAACTCTTACTCTGGGGACCAAACAAAACCTGTTCAAGCAGGAAACTGAATGATTGGTTGTGAGATAGTGAGTGAAATTAACCAGGATGTTTTTGGTCTCATGTTTCCTGTTATCATATAAAATCTGAGATTACATCTTGGGAAGTTGGTTTACTTGACAGTTTCATATCCAATCATTGTATAGAAGACGGTTTTATGGAGAGGCCAGTTTGGTGCATGTCTCAAATTGGTGTGTGTGAGAGAGAGAGTAGCTAATAAAGCCCATGAGAGAAAGAGAGAGAGAGACTGAGAAACTGAGAGAGTGAGAGGTTTGATGAGAAATGTTCCCGGCCTTGAGGATTTCTAGTTTGTGGTGATCACTGTGAACAAGCACATCCCTGTGAGAAAACACTGTGTTCTCAGAGTACACACCACACCTGGACCAACAGCAACACACACACACACACTGTCCCTCTCTCTATCACATTCACTTATTCGCACGCACCACACACACACGCACACACAATCCGCCTCTAATCCGCCACTTTCTGTCATCCAAACACACCGGGATTAAACTGTCCTGAGGGGAGTTAGTGGGGTGGGGGTGGGGGAGGATACACACACAGAAACACGCACCAGTAGTCGCGTACACACGGTGGTTAGTTGTATACACAAACACATGCACACACAGCGGTTCCAGAATATAACAATTAATGCTCTTAAAAGCTTTTTGGTTTATTTCTGGCGCTGGGTTGGATAGTACGCTGACACTGGTGACCGGGCTTCACTCCACTCTGCATTCCAGATCAACCTGCCTGACACACAAACACACACACACACACACACACCCTTGGCGTTTTTCCTATTTTGTTGCATTACAACCTGTAATTTAAATGGATTTTTATTTGGATTTCATGTAATGGACACACAAAATAGTCCAAATTGGTGAAGTGAAATGAAAAAAATAACTTAAACTCAAAAAAATTAATAACGGAAAAGTGGTGCGTGCGTATTCACCCCCTTTGCTATGAATCCCCTAAATAAGATCTGGTGCAACCAATTACCTTCAGAAGTCACATAATTAGTTAAATAAAGTCCACTTGTGTGCAATCTAAGTGTCACATGAACTGTCACATGATCTCAGGTATATATACACCTGCTCTGAAAGGCCCCAGAGTCTGCAACACAACTAAGCAAGGGGTACCACCAAGCAAGCGGCACCATGAAGACCAAGGAGCTTTCCAAACAGGTCAGGGACAAGTTGTGGAGAAGTACCCTACCTATGGCCTCCATAATACTCATCCCGTCCCGTCCCGTCCCCCATGCCCACAATGCATCTATGATTACCAGTCCCTGTGCTACCCAGCTATGCCACTAGCAACCTGCTGCTCCAGCTGAGGACTATGACAACCAGGCCTCCCCTGCTGAAAAGGTTAACCAACCTTGCCCTGCATTCCTCAGAACCACCTTTCAAAGCCACCATTCATCCTTCCTTCACCAGCCGTCAAGGATTTTTTAAAACTCTCATATGGTAGTATAACGATAATGGTGTTAGGGCAGTTTTTGTAATTTTAAAGTTTCTTGTTTGAAGAGTGACTGAGTCTGATTTAATGAATAAACGGTTAGCTAGCTGCGCGGCATGGCTAGGCTGCTGGTGGCGTTAGCTCTGGCTGTGAGTTTCAGGAGTAGCTAGCCTCGTCTGATATGCAGCTACGGTAATATACTAACTAACTAACTAACTAACCACAGCTAGGAAAAGGACAAAAAAAGATGTCCACAGCCAGCCAACCCACTAGTCAGCATGGGGATGCTGTTGTTCTGACACTGTGTGGACCCATCACCCAGAACACACATCCCACCCCTCATGTCAGTATGAAAAATGTATGCACTCACTATAACTGTAAGTCGCTCTGGATAAGAGTGTCTGCTAAATGACTCAAATGTAATGTAAATGTAAATCTAAGTACAGATCAGGGTTGGGTTATAAAAAAACATCCCACGGAGCACCATTAAATCCATTATTAAAAAATGGAAAGAATATGGCACCACAACAAACCTGCCAAGAGAGGGCCGCCCACCAAAAGTCACGGACCAGGCAAGGAGAGCATTAATCAGAGAGGCAACAAAGAGACCAAAGATAACGCTGAAGGAGCTGCAAAGCTCCACAGCGGAGATTGGAGTATCTGTCCATAGGACCACTTTAAACCGTACACTCCACAGAGCTGGGCTTTACGGAAGAGTGGCCAGAAAAAAGCCATTGCTTCAAGAAAAAAAAAAGTGTTATGAATAGTTATGCACGCTCAAGGTTTCAGTTTTTTTGTCTTATTTCTTGGTTGTTTCACAAGAAAAAATATTTTGCATCTTCAAAGTGGTAGGCATGTTGTGTAAATCAAATGATCCAAACCCCCCAAAAATCCATTTTAATTCCAGGTTATAAGGCAACAAAATAGGACATATGCCAAGGGGAGTGAATACTTTCGCATGTCAATGTACACACACATCCTGTGTGCATGCACATCCGACTCACACACACAACAGTATGCGTGAACACATTTAAATCAAATCAAATTTTATTGGTTGCATACACATATTTAGCAGATGTTATTGCGGGTGTAGCGAAATGCTTGTGTTCCTAGCTCCAACAGTGCAGTAATATCGAACAATACACGTGAATCTAAAAGTAAAAGAATGGAATTAAGAAATATATAAATATTAGGACGAACAATATATATACACTACCGGTCAAAAGTTTTAGAACACCTACTCATTCAAGGGTTTTTCTTTATTTTTACTATTTTCTACATTGTAGAATAATAGTGAAGACATCAAAACTATGAAAGAACACATATGGAATCATGTAGTAACCAAAAAAGTGTTAAACAAATCAAAATATATTTTATATTTGAGATTCTTCAAAGTATTTTGGGTCATTGTCCTGTTGAAAAACAAATGATAGTCATACACACAATACCCCATAATGACAAAGCCAAAACAGGTTTTTATACATTTTTGTATTTTGCATTTTGGTGAGTGTGTGTATGCAAGTGTTAGTGTGAGTGTGTAAGAGTGTCAGTGTAGGCGTGATATGCGGATATACATGTAAACAAGGCTGAAAAGTGACTGGTAGCAGGAATATATAAATACTTATGGTAATATAATAATGGTAATACATGTAAACAGGAGTTACCAGTAGAAGGATATATAGATAGATGCTAATGGTAATGGAAGGCAATAATCAATGAACAGCAGCGTAGCGGTAATAATAAATCTAATCAATAATCATTTTAGCAGCAGCGTTGGTGTGACGGGGAGCAGTAGTTGTTATCCATTTAACAGTCTTATATGGAACGCTGTTTGGGTCTTTGCGTGTCAAAAAAGATACACATCAAATAACACTATTTGACGCGTCAAATAACAATATGCAAACTATATGCAAATGTTAGCCAATCACAAATAAGGCGCATGTGAAGCCAGCTATATGAAAAACATCTCATTCATCGTCAATCATCATCACCAACAAACAAGTAAGTAATGTCGAACCTTGAAAACATGAGAGACCGCTTTTTAAGTACAACCACCTTCACAACCACCCCAGCAGGATCGGGTGGTTCAAAGGTAGGATTAATTATTGTTGGTAATACCTGGCAAAAGTCAACATTGACCGGCACAGCGCCCCCCTTTCCATTATTAGCCTATCTAGCTAGCTACAGTGGGGAAAAAAAGTATTTAGTCAGCCACCAATTGTGCAAGTTCTCCCACTTAAAAAGATGAGAGAGGCCTGTCATTTTCATCATAGGTACACGTCAACTATGACAGACAAATTTAGGAAAAAAAATCCAGAAAATCACATTGTAGGATTTTTTATGAATTTATTTGCAAATTATGGTGTAAAATAAGTATTTGGTCACCTACAAACAAGCAAGATTTCTGGCTCTCACAGACCTGTAACTTCTTCTTTAAGAGGCTCCTCTGTCCTCCACTCGTTACCTGTATTAATGGCACCTGTTTGAACTTGTTACCAGTATAAAAGACACCTGTCCACAACCTCAAACAGTCACACTCCAAACTCCACTATGGCCAAGACCAAAGAGCTGTCAAAGGACACCAGAAACAAAATTGTAGACCTGCACCAGGCTGGGAAGACTGAATCTGCAATAGGTAAGCAGCTTGGTTTGAAGAAATCAACTGTGGGAGCAGTTATTAGGAAATGGAAGACATACAAGACCACTGATATTCTCCCTCGATCTGGGGCTCCACGCAAGATCTCACCCCGTGGGGTCAAAATGATCACAAGAACGGTGAGCAAAAATCCCAGAACCACACGGGGGGACCTAGTGAATGACCTGCAGAGAGCTGGGACCAAAGTAACAAAGCCTACCATCAGTAACACACTACGCCGCCAGGGACTCAAATCCTGCAGTGCAAGATGTGTCCCCCTGCTTAAGCCAGTACATGACCAGGCCCGTCTGAAGTTTGCTAGAGTGCATTTGGATGATCCAGAAGAGGATTGGGAGAATGTCATATGGTCAGATGAAACCAAAATAGAACTTTTTGGTAAAAACTCAACTCGTCGTGTTTGGAGGACAAATAATGCTGAGTTGCATCCAAAGAACACCATACCTACTGTGAAGCATGGGGGTGGAATCATCATGCTTTAGGGCTGTTTTTCTGCAAAGGGACCAGGACGACTGATCCGTGTAAAGGAAAGAATGAATGGGGCCATGTATCGTGAGATTTTGAGTGAAAACCTCCTTCCATCAGCAAGGGCATTGAAGATGAAACGTGGCTGGGTCTTTCAGCATGACAATGATCCCAAACACACCGCCCGGGCAACGAAGGAGTGGCTTCGTATGAAGCATTTCAAGGTCCTGGAGTGGCCTAGCCAGTCTCCAGATCTCAACCCCATAGAAAATCTTTGGAGGGAGTTGAAAGTCTGTGTTGCCCAGCGACAGCCTCAAAACATCACTGCTCTAGAGGAGATCTGCATGGAGGAATGGGCCAAAATACCAGCAACAGCGTGTGAAAACCTTGTGAAGACTTGCAGAAAACGTTTGACCTGTGTCATTGCCAACAAAGGGTATATAACAAAGTATTGAGAAATTGTTGTTATTGACCAAATACTTATTTTCCACCATAATTTGCAAATAAATTCATTAAAAATCCTACATTGTGATTTTCTGAATTTTTTTTTCTCATTTTGTCTGTCATAGTTGACGTGTACCTATGATGAAAATGACAGGCCTCTCTCATCTTTTTAAGTGGGAGAACTTGCACAATTGGTGGCTGACTAAATACTTTTTTTCCCCACTGTATGTTATCGTTTGTTATTTAATAGTATGTCAGTTCGAGTAAACTAGGCATTTCTATTGCTGTTATGTTGTGTTATGATTTCGTTGACGTTTTCTTCAAATATCGCTTGAGAGAATGAGCAGTTATAGAATTGGGCGGAGTCCGAACAACCTTTATGCAAATTAGGATCATCAGTGACAAAATCTATGACTCATAGCACACATATAGGTGAATTGCTGTGACATATGACAAACGAGTGATAGTGTAATCAATGTGTAATAACTACGTACAAAATTTATGAACGTGTTAAATGATTATGTGATGTGCAGTCATATTCAGGTCCTGATTGGTCAACAAGCTTATTTGACGTGTCAAATAGTGTTATTTGACGTGTATCTTTTTTGACACGCAAAGACCCAAACGGTGTTTCATAGTCTTATGTCCAGAGGATAGAAGCTGTTTAGGAGTCTGTTGTTCTGAACCTTAATGCACCGGTACAGATGGTGATACAACCAGTCAGGATGCTCTCGATGGTGCAGCTGTAAAAGTTCTTAAGGATCTGAGGGGCCATGCCAAATCGTTTCAGCCTCCTGAGGGAGAAGAGGTACTGCCGTGCCTTGTTCACGACTATGTTGGTGTGAGAGGACCATGATAAGTCCTCAGTGATATGGATACAGAGGAATTTGAAGCTCTTGACTTGCTCCCCTGCGGCCCAGTCGATGTGGATGGGGGTGTGCACCCGTCCCTGTTTCTTATAGTCCACGATCAGCTCCTTGGTCTTGCTGACGTTGAGGGAGAGGTTGTTGTCCTGGCACCACAGGTCTCTGACCTCCTCCCTGTAGGCTGTCTTATCGCTGTTGGTGATCAGGCCTACCACTGTCGTGTCGTCAGCTAACTTGACCACGATTCTGCCTTGACTGCTCTAGAAGCCTAAAGTGTTTAGAAAGTGTGTTCTGTCCTTATTGTTTAAAATTCTGAGTCTTCCATCTCCCATCTTTGTGTAAAAGAAATGTCAATTGAGACGTGTTTATTGATAGCCTAACACAAATATAGCCTACTACGGGGAATGGAACTGAACTGGCATATGTTTTTATAGTAAAGGCCTATGTTTGTGTTTGGACTAGAGTTGCGGTATACAGTCTGTGTGTTCTGTATTACCATCTGTGTGGTCATGGAGTTTGCTTATTTGCGTGTCTGATATTGTGTGTGTGCGCGCCTGTGTCTGTGAGTGTGTATGTATTTGCAAGCATACGTGTGTGTGTGTGTGTGTGTGAGGCTGTGCTGCAGATGGCTAGGCCTCCTGTAGCTCAGTTGGTAGAGGATGGCGCTTGCAACGCCAGGGTTGTGGGTTCGATTTCCCACGGGGGGCCAGTATGAAAAATGTATGCACTCACTAACTGTAAGTCGCTCTGGATAAGAGCGTCTGCTAAATGACTAAAATGTAAATGTAATGGCTTCTCTCTGGTAAGTACACAGCTGTCTGTCTCTCGCTCTGCCTGGGGGAAGCACAGGGGCAGTTTGTCAGGCCCTATTAACAGGGCCTGTCTGGCCCGCTCATGACATCACCGCTAATGGCAACCCAAAACACTAGTAGTCTAGTGTGTGTGGGTATACTATTTATCCGTGTGTGTGTGCATGTGCGTCTGTGTTTGTGTGTGTGTGTGTGTTACTACCTACCCATGTGTGTGTAACTATATACCCTAACGTGTGTGTGTGTTTCGGTCCACAGGCAAGCGGCAGATCCACAACCTGGGCAGCCAGCTGCAGCTCAACCAGCACTGCCTGGACACAGCCTTCAACTTCTTTAAGATGGTGGTGAGCAAGCACCTGACGCGCGGACGCAAGATGGCGCACGTCATCGCTGCCTGCCTCTACCTGGTCTGCCGGACTGAGGGCACGCCCCGTATCCTTTGGACCTGCTGCCCTGAAGGGGGCCAAAGGGGGGGAGATTGTCTTTTACCATAGGGGGTTTGGGTGAGGGTGTTTCCAAGGCTAATCAATGGTTACAGATTAACATGTGTGAGTGTTTTTGAGTACTGTATGTGTGAAAGAAATGGTAATCTCTGTTTACCCAGATGTAAAATCTTTGGTCAGCTGCCTGATTAACTTCCGTGTTCATATGTGTTAGAAATTATGACAAAAACAATGTCTCCACCCTCGCTAAAGGAAACTCTCATCCATGTGGGTACATGCGTGAAGGACTCGAAGTGAAGCACTCGAGGTTAAGCACCACCTTCGCCCAATCCAGATACATCAAAATAACCAGTGACGAAAACCCAAAAACCAAAACTAATGCTGTTCGTTATCTCTCGCATCTCATTCAGTCCCGGCAGATTCTTCGGTCTACACGCAGAATCTGCCCATTGGAGATTAGAGAAAGGGAGAAGGATTGTATTTGTGACGTATCATCTGTGTGTGTTATTGTGGATGTGTGCGTGTTATTGTGGATGAGTTTGTGCATCCATGTGTGTAATAGAGAGGGTGTGTTGTGTGAGTTATTGTGGATGGATGTGTGTGTAATAGAGAGGGTGTGTTGTGTGAGTTATTGTGGATGGATGTGTGTGTAATAGAGAGGGTGTGTTGTGTGAGTTATTGTGGATGGATGTGGTGTGTCCCTTCGCGCGGGTGTGTTTGTCGTTCTTGTGGCTGGCTGTGTGTGTCCTCTCGCGGGTGGTGTTGTGTGCTTTCTTGTGGCTGGTGTGTGTGTCCTCGCGCGGGTTGTTGTGTGCGTTCTTGGTGGCTAGGCTCTGTGTGTCCTTCGCAGCGGGTGTTTTTTGTGCGTTTCTTGTGGCTGGCTGTGTGTGTCCTCGGCGGGTGTGCTTGTGTGCGTTACTTGTGGCTCCTGTGTGTGTCCTCGCGCGCTGTTGTGTTGTGTGCGTATTGTGTCTTGCTCTGTGTGCTCCAGAACGCATTTTCTTCTACACACCCATGTCCCAGAGACCCATTATTCCGATCAGGTCCAACGACACACCTCCTCCCGCTATCCAGCCACCTCAAACGCACACACACACACACACACACACACCACACACACACACACACACACACACACACACTGATATCCAGCCACCTCTTCTCTCCACGGCGCACCCAAGTCCTTTGAACATTTCCCAATCCCAAGGCAGCAGAAGACCTGGAATGTTTACTGCAGCGTCCAGATCAAACCGCTCGGTGATCAGAATGCATTATAAGCTTCCCCTCCCCCAATTCTAACCTTAACCATTAGTGGAGGAAATGCAAAACTGACCCAAGATCAGTGTCTACTAGGGGCAACGTCACCCTACTCCACATTATAAATCACAGAGGCTGTGTTTACACAGGCAGCCCAATTCTGTTATTTTTTCACTAATGTTTGCATACATTTTGAGTTGTGGCCCCAGCGGGGATTGGACCCATTATCCTTCGCGTTGCAAGCGCCATGCTCTACCAAATGAGCCACACAGGACCACCATAAGTAGATCTACATCAGAGGAGGCTGGTGAGGGGAGGACGGCTCATAATAATGAATGGAATGGAGTGAATGTAATGGTATCAAACACCTGGAAACCAGGTGTTTGATGTGTTTGAGACCATTCCATTAACTCCTTTCCAGCCATTACTATGAGCCTGTCCTTCCCATTTTAAATGTCACCAGCCACAACTGATCTACGTCAAGGATATTCAAATATAAGCCTGAAGGTCTGGAGTACCGCTGTTTGTCTTCCTCCCCTGGCAGTGAATTGATTAACGTCACAGTGATTGGTCGTGCTCAGTAGTACCTTTTGCAAAGGAACATGAAAATCTTCTTACTGACCAGCGTTTTCTTCGTATGTGTGTGTGTTTGCATGGACTCTTTTAGAATAACAAGGGTAGGACCAAATACGTTGTAGATTCTATTCTATTTACAGTCGAGGTAACCACATATGGTTAAGTGATAGGGAGAAAGGAATTACTGTACCTTACAGTGACTTGATGATGCCAGTATCTGGCCTACCTCTAGCCATCCCTCTCAGGTCGCTGTTGGTGTTAGGTTCACAGTGTAGTGATACTAAATCTTCATTTGTCGCTACAGTAGCCCACCCAGGTTCTGTACCGCCGTAACGTTCAATAATAATAATAATAATATGCCAAAGCGACTTACAGTCATGTGTGCACACATTTCTACGTATGGGTGGTCCCGGGGATCGAACCCAATACCCTGGCATTACAAGCGCCATGCTCTACCAATTGAGCTACAGAGGACCACATTGAGCTACAGAGGCCTGTACTAAAGAGCAAAGTGTTTGTATAACACCAGAGAATCTCACTAGTTGTCTGTGTATTGTGGCATTGCTGGGAGAAGGGTGCACACACACAGACAAAATGGGTGTAGCTCTCTTTCCTTGGGGGTTAGGCCGGGTTTGGGTTGGGCTCCTCCTGTTAGTCACAGGGGACTGAAATAGAAAGTGTCTTCATTCAATCCTATTGCTTCACACACACCCACACCCTTTTATTCGACTACAATACACACAGGCAACCATTGAAGGGAACCGTGTAGTCTTATCTACATGGATTCATCCTGTAACATTGACACAACTTGCCCAAAGGTGAATGCGTTATACAGGTTCGTCTAACCAATCACTCTCCTTGATATTGGGGGGGGGGGGGGGGGGGGGGGGTACGACAACAATTATTTAGCACATTTTGACAGCAAGGAAATATAACACATGTTCAGTGCAACCCTCCGGAAATCATTGAAGAACGAATTTGGCCCCGGGGGCACATTTTTTGAAACACCCCTACATTAGTGCATTCATCTTAAGATTGCTAGGTGTGACAACAACATATCCCAATCGTAGCAAGTATATTTTCTGTCAAAAAAGTAGTTATCAGTGCTAGTAGGAAAATATAAGTGCCTACACTACTTTTGACCAGTGCCCATAGGGCTATCTAGGGAATAGGGTGCCCTGGTCAAAAGTAGTGCACTAGTAGGGATAGGGTGCCATTTGGGGCACATCCCTAGTGTGTGAGGTTTAGCGACGGTGTGCATTATCTGTCGATGGTGGCGGCACTATCAGATTATCCTTTCCCTTTCTGTGGCGCTAATCTAATCTCACCCTGCTGGGATTAATGGGCCCTGTAATCTCGTGCTACGTGTGTGTCACCTCAGGTGTCTGTGTGTCCGTGTGTGTGTTGTTCAGGTACGAGCTTGTGTGGGTAGGTGGGAGGGCGGAAGGGAAGTGTGTATTTTCAACTGGCAGTTGGATTGTTTTCATGTAGCCTATCAAGTGTGTGTGTGCGCGTTTCTTGGCTGTTGTTTGTTTGTAATGGTAAATAAGGGGTTGGTCAGGTGTGTGTATGGCTGTGAAGTTTGCAATGTGTATAGTAGTCGTATACACTAGGTATGTAGTAATTTACAGTATGTGTTTGTGTTCCAGGTGTGTTCGTGTTCCAATTAGTAGTGTTTGTTCCAATCTGTGTGTATGTCTGTGTGCGTGCTTGCACACTTCCGTCCGTTCGCAGCATTGTAAGGTGAGCGTCAGCCGACAGTCTTCCCGAGTCAATCCACCTCGCTCCCTCTCTCCTGTCTCTAGGTGACCTCGTCTGCAGGTTGCTAGGGCGGAGCTGAGGCACTGCGGGGCCAGTTCTATATTTAGCCGCGCATCGGCAGCTGAAGGGGCCAAGCATCAGGGGAGTTTGAGTCACCCGACGCTTGACTGCAGAAAGACCCGGCATCAGCGTATGCACCGTCTCACTCACCGTAGTGATTGGCAAGAAACAAACCCAGTGCACAATTGTAAGGCCCTAGACTTGTGTTGACGGTGTTAACTGAGCTTACTTGTCTAGAAATATAATATATAATATAATATGCCATTTAGCAGACGCTTTTATCCAAAGCGACTTACAGTCATGCGTGCATACATTTTTGTGTATGGGTGGTCCCGGGGATCGAACCCACTACCTTGGCGTTTCAAGCGCCGTGCTCTACCAGCTGAGCTACAGAGGACCACACCGGATTTCATGTTTTTACATTATTTTCAGTGTTTGAAAGGACAGCATTCTCTTTTTAGATTTATTTTTCTTCTCAGTTTTGTTGATGGAAAATTACATTGCACCCCTTATTTAGCATTATTAAGCATACATTTTTTAGGTTATTCTTAGAATGTTATTGACAGGTCGATTTGGGCCATTTCGGCAAAAAATAGCCTTAGGCTTGTTGAATACTTTGCTCTGAACAGTATTTGTAAGTGCTGAACCCATTGAGAAATGGGTCATGCTACTTAGTTCATATAGTACCCTGCAGTTTCAGACCATTTATTTTCGGTTTAGTGCCTACTGAACACAACCATTGTGTATCTCGTGCTGTTCTTTGCAGTAAAGCCCTTGTTGCTGTCACCTTTACTTCCTTAACGCTCCTTCCCCCTTCAGACATGCTTCTGGACCTGAGTGATCTCCTACAGGTACGTTTAGTCTCTGTCTTCGTCCATTACAAAGACACGATTCTCTACCCTTTTCCAGATGTGTGCACTTCACTCCTCATGCATTTACAGTGCATTCGGAAAGTATTCAGACCCCTTGACTTTTTCCACATTTTGTTACGTTACAGCCTTATTCTAAAATGTATTAAATTGTTTTTTCCCCCCTCAACAATACCCCATAATGACAAAGCAAAAACAGGTTTATAGAAATTGTTGCTAATTTCTAACAAATAAAAACTGAAATAATACAACTACGTAAGTATTCAGACCCTTTACTCAGGACTTTGTTGAAGCACCTTTGGCGGCGATTACAGCCTCAAGTCTTCTTGGGTATGACGCTACAAGCTTGGCACACCTGCATTTGGGGAGTTTCTCCCATTCTTCTCTGCAGATCCTCTCAAGCTCTGTCAGGTTGGATGGGGAACGTCGCTGCACAGCTATTTTCAGGTGTATCCAGAGATGTTCGATCGGGTTCAAGTCCGGGCTCTGGCTGGGCCACTCAAGGACATTCAGAGACTTGTCCCG